TCAGCTGGCATCATTTTTATGGATATATACAAAGAAATGTAAATTGAAAAAAAGGTCAAGACGAAACAAAGTGCAGCTAGTTTTTAGTCTTTCCAGCTTCAGTTTGAAGTGATTGTGTTAGCTGTGTTGTTGGCTTGCTCCTCTGAACAACAGTGGCCTGACAAGAGAGCACATGTTCTATGCCAAGCGAAATCAAGCCTCATTAGCTCATTGTTATGGATGTCTCCAAATAAATGTAATTAGAAAACAGCTTAAACAAACTCAAATGCAGCTACTTTGCTGTTATTCTGGCTGCACTTTTTGATGTGACTGTAAATTAGCCGTAGTTGTCTAGCTAGCAAGCAAGGGATAAGAACGTTGCCAGCCAGTATGGCAATGGAACATTTAGAACGAACGACTGGGATAGATTAGAGACGTTAGAGTCCATAGATACAGAACAAAAAGACTGAACGACTCTGGCAACCGAACCGATTGAACGAACGACCAGCCGGCTTGGGTAGCAACCTTAGATTTGTGTTGGGACTATATCTTGTGGAAGGACGAAATAGTATAAATAAATTCCTCAAAATAACGTTTTTAATGAAAATATGTTTATCATTATTTGAATATGTTGGTAACCCATTGTATAAAAGTGATAATGCCTTCAAAGCCGATGTTTGGAGGATATATTGGCACGGTTTGCACGGCCTAACAACACCCGTGCCAATATATCCTCCAAACAAAAGCTTCTCGGGCATTATCACTTAACTAATATTGATTGATTTAAAAAAAACATTTGATACATGCACACATTCCACAGAGCCTTTCTCTGGACTGGGGAATTTGTAGAGGAAAGGGATTAGGTTGAAGTTGCCCCTAGACGCTGATCTTGGGTCAGCTTAGTATTTTCCCCACTAATGGTTAAGGTTAGGATTGTGGAAGAGGAAGCTGACCCTAGATCTGTACCTAGGGGAAACTTCACCCCAAAGCAGAGGAAAGAGTCTAGTCTTACTGGGCTTCTTTGATGTGTCTATAAAGACACACTAGAGCTTCTGAGACTACAGAATGACAGAGTAGGAAAGAAGAGAAAATTGGCTTCTGTTAAACATAAATAAAGCCCCATCTCTTCATCTGCTCTTGAAGTGCCAGGGTATAGTGTTCATTTCCAGTAAATAAGACCAAGGAGCTACATATTTGAGGTGGCCATATTGTAATTAAGGAAACAGGTTAATAACAACAACAGTGGAAATCTGACAAGGAAGGCCTATCATTGTCGAGAGAAGTCTCTTTATGGTCTCCTGAATTCTTAGATGGTCTAGAGGTGTGTGTAGAGGACTTTTATCTCACTTGTTTATGTTTGGGTGCTTCTATGAACTGTCTCTTAGAACACTCCAAAAATAGCCTGCCCCCATATGGCCCAAACATGCACTGCACCGCAAATAGTCACTGCCAATTGAGTGGATGAACTTTAACAATTACTTATATTGTTATCATGTTTTGGTTCAATGGATATCTGCAAAATGACTAAGTCTGGGGCTGGTTGCTATTTTAGCAGGAAGACTTTGGTAGGATTGCGAGGTATTGAATACTTTCTGTCTCACCTATAGATGTGACAGTGGTTTTCTAGCTTCAGTGAAGGAGGTATTTTCCATGCTGAGGGGAGAACACAGTGAGGAGGATATATTTTTTTAGACTCCAGTCCAGATGTGCACATATCTTACAGTAGAGACAGTCGCCAGGCAGATTAGTGGATAGTGTATGCGTATAATTATTGGCCTGGGTTGGGCAGGCCTATGCAGTGGGTGGGCTGGAATTCGGTGGTGAAGAGAAGCCGTTTTGGACAGTAGACAGGCGGGTGCTCCAGGGCAAGGTCTATTCTCATGGTCCTGGAGAAGAGAAGGGGAGAACTTGCTCATCAGACATCAGCATGTGTTGGATTGGGAATTAATTTGTCAAAGAAGCAGGGCACTGTGTGGACAAATAAAGAGGGTATAGGCGTTCCCTTAGGATGCAGATTGTGTTCACACAAGTTACTATTAGGATTTGAAAAATAACTAAATAAAGAAATATTCTAAATAAAGAAAAAAATGAGTAGGAGTATTTAAGACCAGTAAGGCCATGCAATGGAATTTGTGGTCTGTGTGAGTATGGAGAGCATGTTCAGATAGTAGACCGATTGCATGTGGTGTGATTGATTACAATGAATAACAAAACCTCCCTCTGTTTTGCTCATACTGCGTAACCATCCCTAACCTCACTTCCAAAACCCAGGACTTGGTCAACCGACCCTACATAGGGTCAAATAAAGTTCAGCCCGGCCTTATCTTCTGCTCTGAGGAAGATTAGAAGGCATCTGTTGTTCTATCAGAGGGGAGAGATAGCTGATAACCATGCTCACTCAACCTCCATTGACCAAACTATTTCAAAGGGTGTTTGGTAAATTGACTGATGAGTCCCTAACATGAGAGAGATAGAGAAAGAGAGAGAGAGAGAGACGCGCTTCCCTTGTTTTATTATTATTATTATTATATTATTTTGTGGGGAAGGAGTGGTGGAGGACGGAGTTGTGGGTGAGTGAGTGGAGGGGTGTGGAGGGAGGGTGACAGAGTCAGAATGTCATGTAGGTCAGGTGACACCTCAGGGATGTGGTGAGCAGGAAGTGACCTTGCCTGAGATGAGGGTCCTGGTGGACTGTTCTCTCTGCCTCTTTCTCTCTCGCTCTCTCTCTCTCTATCTCTAGGGAAGGGGGAAGGGGGCTGTTGAGTGAGGAAGGCCTGATGCCTCGGCAGCACAGACGCTTTCTGTTTCATTGAGACATAGAGACATGGGCGCACACACACATGCGCGCCCATACACACACAAACAACTGGACACAAAAACAACACAAATGCACATGCGCTAGTTGTAGCGTACATATACACTCTAGGTATTATTTTTTTTATATATATATTTTTTAGGGGTAAGTAATTGTTAACACACACACTCAAAACCACATGAGGTACATACAGTATAACCATGTGGACAAACATGCTCTCAAACACACACACACACACACACACACACACAGAATGCATAACCCCTAGGGGGCCATAAAACATACAGACGTTGACAAATAACTGCAGGATTCTGCGACATTGGCCAAAGGGGCAGGCAGCCTGTCTGGGGGCGATGCCCAGGAGCTCAAATTAGCCAATCACAAGTGACTTGAGACATGGATCCCCTGAGGCTATAGGTAGAGTCCCGATTGATTGACTGGATGTTAGAAAACGGTGAAATGACTGGGTGCCTGAGGACCAACTGAGATTGACAGCAGATGGAGGCTACATACATGCCATGACACACAAGTCACATGACCTGCACCAAGGGCATTGTGGTCAGATGTCAAACTAACGTTTAACTAATGTCCTACATTACTTATCTCCACTGCACTCCCATTGAGTCTTAATGGACTCGCTAACTGATTAATATATACAGTATTCTCTCATGTAATGTAGCTAATGTTAGCCTGGTCACAGATCTGGTCGTTGGTCAAGACAGCACAGTCCGATCTGGGACCAGGCTAATGTAATGTCACTTTTCAATTAGCTCTTGGTCCAGGGCATTAGAGCAGCGTGCTAATGTTGAGCCTTCCTGTCCCTTGCCTGGACCAGACCTACATTCTAATGTACTGTAAGCAGTGGGCATCTGCCTGAGCTGGACCATAGAGGCATTTCTCAGGCAGCAGATTATTTTGAGCCAGGCAGTGTGTTATTATATGAAGCCAGCGTGGCTGTATTTAGGCAGGCTTATTGTAGGGCTGTTTTGGGCCGGGCTGGGTGAGTTCCCTCCACAAGGCTGCAGGAACATATGACTTCGATTGTGTCCCAAATGGCACCATATTCCCTATGTAGTACACTACTTTTGACCAGGGCCCTACTACATAGGGAATAGGGTTTCATTTGGGATGGAACCTTTAAGCCTGGAATCACTGTTTGATGTGTGTTGTGGTATTGGGGTGAGAAAGCCGCTGTATAGAGGGGCGCACACACTGTATGCCACTGTATGATATATTGTTGACTGTATGCTGCTGTCTCATGCATGTACTACTCCCCTTCCTCCATCCCTCTTTCTTCACTGTGTGTTTTACGGGTGTGTGCGCGCACCTCTCTATAATCAACGACCAATGGGAGGCGGAGCCGAGGCGCTGACTGTAATGTGATAGCTGCTCTGTTCAAAAGTGCTATTACACACACTCTCACTCGCTCACATAAACACGCCGCGGGAGCGCAGAGAGACACGCCGCTACATAGGCCTCCAAGAAGACTAGAGGAGCCTTGCCAGAGATGGAATGAATGATGCTTCGGATGACCGTGTATTAATGTTCGTCACAGTTGTCATGATTTGCGCTCCATTCTTGTCCGAAATACGGAGTCTTCTTGTCTGTTGATAGTTTAGGCAGCTGTGTCTCAGTGGTCGTAAATGCAGGAGTAAATCACCGGAGTCCCGGAATCCCTGCGAGCACAAGAGAGAGAGCTAGAGAGAGAAGGGGGGAAAGGCAACCGCTTCAATCGGATTTGGAGGTAACTAAGAGCCGCTTATCAGACAGACTCTCGCTGTGGGAAAAAGCCCGGAGGTTCCAAATCAGTGGACAAGCTCTGTATGGAACGGGGGAATCAAGAGGAATTTATTTCATCCACGTTGCTCCACGAGGCTCAATAACTCAGTCATGACGACAAGATGAAAGTTATAAGGTGGCATCCCAGTGTGTCGTTCAAGTAGCCTGTAGGCCTACTTCAGAGGGAAAGCTGTTCACCATTGTCTTAGCCTATTTTTATTAAATTAAGTGCACTTGGAACAAACGTTATTCGTTGCTTGTTTTAGTAAAATAGGCTACGTGGAGTAATAACATTTGTCCCTACATTTTCTGCAAAAAAGGGTCCCTACATTTTCTGCCAAAAAAGGGTGTGGATTTTTTTGATGGACAGCTGATTTGATGCTGGGAGGTAACATAAAAAAATAACAAGACATTGAACATTGCCAAAATGGATATGCTATCATCGTTGATTGGATTTTTACTTGCAATTTGTCTAACACTGGGAGTCCGTGGAGACAAGGGTAAGTTTACCGTCAGTTGTTGGTCAGTTCCCAAGAACGCATGGGCTGTCAAGAAACGTGTCCGAATGTATCCGACACTACCCTTCATTGGTGATCTAATTTTTGAATTTGCTTTAAACTATGAAAAAAACTGAAACCTCACAGTTTTTTAATTAGGCCTGCGTCTTGGAGACTGACAGGGAAAATAGCTTGTTTTTCTCAGCGTTGGAAAAACTCGTTTGGTTTTAAAGCGCAAGCTCCATCTGTTTCAAATCAGGAATTTCAACACATAGGCAGTGAATGGCATCAGATAGACATTGACTGATAACCAGTAGGCTACTATGTGTAGTGTAGGCGTACTGATATTTCACACAAAATGTTCTCTCAACCTAGGCTTGAAAGACAACAAACACAATTTCTCTCGGTGCACGCCGAAGGAACCGTGGGGTGTGATATGAGCTCCGGTTCTCCGTGTTAACGTGGGAACCGTTTCGTTTAGCAGCGGGGATGAAGCCGTTCCCATTCGTTATCCTAGGTTGTCCAGAACAATATTGCTATTCTACCTTTTTCGTACGCCAAGAGTAATTTGACAATATTTCACCCATGAAAAATGACTGGGTGGTATGCTATTTGATACACAAAAGCCATTATATTATGCCAAAAAATAGGAGGTCATTACAATGTAATAGAAGTTGCCATAGCATGGGGGGACATGGTAAAAAGTTCCACTGCCGTTCATGTTTGGCAGGTTTTGTAATCTTATGTTCACAAAAAAAGAAAAGAAAGATGAACCCTAAATACATTAGCCTATAATATCCTAATGCCTCTTCTTTGTAGGGTGATAATATAATTAAAAAATGGAGAGAAAAAAACTGTCCTACTTTCTTTTTGTTGTTGTGTTTCTTGGTTGAGTTAATGAATAAATGCTAAACTCTAAACGCGTCTGTAGACATAACATAATCCATAGCCTATCCAAAATAATGCGCCTCGAAGTGGTATTTTGCTATTAGTGGATAATGGCAAGAATATTAGTTAGACTAACCACCACCATCATAATCATCATCATCATCATTAACATCAATAAGTACACCAACAACAACAACTCGCTCATTATCTCCAGAGCCTAGTCTCGCAATAATTATGGTGATAGTTGTTGCCTCAATTGCGCTTGTGCCTTGGCGGTTCTCCGCTCGCGCTGCAACATTAAGACCAGATGACACATTTTGACAAAAAAACCTTCCATTCCATTCAGGGAATCGTGCTGATTTTACGCTAGCTGGCTTGCTTCTCAAGTCGCAGTAGTTTTAGCCATAATCAATGAGTATGAGTTGTTTTTTCTCCTGAGCTTTAGAACACGGTCTGGTCTCTCACTCCTTTTCTGCTCTGTCTCTGTGCCCTACTCAGTGTCTCCTCCCTGGCTGGTTTACAGGGCTAGTCCTATGGTTCTTCTTCAGAATGTGCTCCAAAGTGTTCGTGTGGTGTGTGTGAGTGTGATTCATGTTTGCATGCATTCAAGTGAGTGTGTGTGTGTGTGAATGGGTTTGGACCTGCCATTTAGAGGGGTTCAGTATGGCCTGTTTGCAGTGCTGGCTGCCTGTGTGCCCGTTGATCAGAGACAGATGTGAGCCCTTGGCAGCTCTCCTCTAGCTTGCTCACATACCTCAGCCTGCCAAAGCACTCGCTGTTCCTCTCCTCTCCTCTCCTCTCCTCTCCTCTCCTCTCCTCTCCTCTCCTCTCCTCTCCTCTCCTCTCCTCTCCTCTCCTCCTCAAAACAGCACAGCTTGTCACTTACACACAGCAGCAGGAGAAAGAGAAAGGGAGAGAAGGGGGAGAGAGAGAAAGGAGATGTGGGAAAGACAGGAGGTTGTGAGAGAGAGAGAGCGACAGAAATGTAGTGCAGAACAAGAGCATGTTTTTCAGGAGAGAGAGAGAGAGACGAGAAGGAAGGGTACAGCATTTGATAGGAGGGGGTTGAGCACCAAACAGCAGATAACAGCAGGGTCACAGAGTTTTAAGAGCAGAGGAACTGATGATATTGGGGGTACAAAAATGAACACTACACCGGGGGTCAGAGAGCAGAAGGGGGACCATGTATCTAAGTGGAGAGACCCTATTTTTAAGTCTGTGTCTTTGTCCCAAATAGCAACCTATTTCCATATTTAGTACACTACTTTTTACCAGAGCCCATAGAGCTAAAGGAGGGGAATAAGCTCCGGTCAGAAGTAATGCACTACAATAGGGAATAGGGTGACATTTGGGACGCAGGCTAATGTAACCACAACAGTGTGACTCATGAATGTTTTAGTATAATTAAGTCATTCATAATAATTAACTAGTAATTAACTCATGGACGTGAACATACAGGACCAGTGTGTGTCTTCACTGTCTCTGTACGTTTACCTTTCTATATGTTTTAATGTAGATTAATGAAAAGCTTTCTTTTCCTCCTCTCTCTCTCTCTCTGCTTGCTTCTTTTTCTTTCTCTCGCTTGTTTGCTTTTTTCTCTTGTCTCCCCACCTCACTCTCCCCCACTCCATGCCCCCTTTCGCTCCCCCCCCCCCTCCCCCAGCATCTTTTTTAATCTGCCCCAGACTCCTATAACACATCAGCAGCGGAGAAACAAGGTCAGGACTGTAGTTATTAGCATTCAAGACCTGAAAAACAAAGGGGCTGTGGTTCAATACCTTGGCCAGGAGAAGGGCTGGGGTGCTGGGGGAGGAGGAGGGGGACACGCCAACCCCCTGGAACAGGGCGACTTGGGTGAAATTAAAAACAAGACCACCATAAATAATACACCTATCGGCTAGCTGGTGGCCCCTCGGTCTGCTGCTTAGTGTGTGCACACACACTGCACACGCACACACACTCACACACACAGGTTGTTTATCTGGACAGCAGTATTTTAGTAAAGCAAACCCCAGCGAAACGCAACCATCTGCTTCTGGTCAATTGATCCATTGATTAATTGATTGCTGTACCCACCCCAATGCATTTAGTTGATTAGCCAAAACCACTTAGCCTCTTGGAAGAGACGTGCGTGGGTGCTCTAAGAGGAGAGGAAGCTTTAGTCTAGCTTGCTATTGGTGAATTAGGGAACCATATCTGTGTGTTGTTCCTATTGGAACTGCAGTCTAAACGTGTACACTTGAATGGTTATGTTATAACTTCGATTTCTGCTGCATATTCATTTAGGATTGTTACATTTTCTCTTAGTCCATAATATAATAAGAATATAAATGATAATATGTCATTGAGCAGATGTTTTTATCCAGAGCGACTTACAGTGTGTGCATACAATTTCGTATGGGTGGCCCCAACAGGACTCAAACCCATGATACTGACGTTGTAAGTGCCATGCTCTGCCAACTGAGCCATACAGGACACTTTAATATTATCTAAAGGTAGGTAGGGCCTTATGTTAGGTGCCTAATGATTAAAGTAAAGAACTTTGAAAGTCAAAAATCTCTCTTTCCCTCCCTCCCTCCCTCCCTCTGTCCAGTCTTGTGTGGAGTGGTTAGATTAAAAACAGTCGATGGAGACAGCCCCTGTGTAGGGATGAATGGATGAACGAATAGTGCCTCTCCTCCTCTCTCTCTCCCCCTGATTCCCTCACTTGAAGCGATAGCACTTTTTAATTAAGCTGGGAGAGAAGAGCGAGAGAGAGAGAGAAGGGGGGAGAGAGAGAAGAGAGAGAGAGAGAGAGAGAGAGCGAGAGAGAGAGAGAGAGAGAAAAGAAAGAGAGAGAATGATGGAGAGATTTATAATGGCCCTTCCACACACTCGCAGCTTATGTGTGATGCCACAGTATGCTGATAATACCGCTAATAGAAATTGGTGCATACCACACACACACACACACACACACACACACACACACACACACACACACACACACAGACAGATATGCAGTCATATCAGATACTGTATATATAGACGGAGACAATAATTCATGAGGCTACCTCTCTACTGAACGCTCCCTCCTCATCCTCCCTCCTTATCCTCCCTCCTTATCATCCCTCCTCATCCTCCCTCCTTATCCTCCCTCCTCATCCTCCCTCCTCATCCTCCCTCCTTATCCTCCCTCCTCATCCTCCCTCCTCATCCTCCCTCCTTATCCTCCCTCCTCATCCTCCCTCCTTATCACACAAACACACCTGCACCTATAAGACATAGTGCCCTGAAACACACACTGTATACTCATAAAAACACAAACATTCACATACACATTCTCCACCCTAACAGAGGACCTAAACAAAGACATACCCAGTCGATCACATACACACTGCGCGCGCACGTGCACACGCACACACACACCCCCACACACCTCTCCCCTGCATGGACTGTATATCCTACTGACAGCCCATCAGCTCCTCCAGGGTCAGTCCCCATAGGGATTGTCTTAATGAGCCTCGTCAGGCTCTCTCTCTCTCTCTCTCTCCTCCTCACACTCTCTTTCTTCCTCCTCATCCCCCTAAATCATCTCCCTCCCTTCCTTCTCTGTCTTAATCCTTCTCCGTCTCACAACCTTTCTCTGCCGCTCTCTATTCCTTCTACCCCTCTCTTTCTCAATCCCTCTTATTATCTCCCCCTTTTTTGTCCCTCTCCCTCCATCTCTCTCCCTCTCCTCCCTCACCCCCCCCCCCCCCCTCATCCCTCTTTACCTGCCTTTCTCCCTGCTGGCGTCCCTCTCTCCATCCCCCCCTCCCCCTCCTCCTTAGCTGCACATGAATGGTCTGCTCAGCTCAGGGAGCGTAAAAGTGCAGAGGCTGCAGGATTCTCCCAAACGGCTTAATCTTCCCCTGGCGGTACCACTGACAGACCGCACACCTTTTGGAGAACACAATGTGGTCCTCTGTAGCTCAATTGGTAGAGCATGGCGCTTATAACGCCAGGGTAGTGGGTTCGATCCCCGGGACCACCCATACCTAAAAATGTATGCACGCATGACTGTAAGTCGCTTTGGATAAAAGCGTCTGCTAAATGGCATATTATTATTTTATTATTACAATAGGAGAAATGGGTTCTGTCCTAAATGGCATCCTATTCCCTATATCCCCCATACTCAACTGGCGGGCCGGATCCGGGCCCAGAACGGGTTCAATACGGACCGCGGGTCCCGGAAAAAATACAAAATAAATAAATATATATATTTTTTTACTAGTTCGTACTTTGACCCCTGGTATCATATAAACACACATAAGACATGGAATAATCCGTGGAGTTGCAGGAAATTAGCTTTAAAACAGCAAAAAAAAACTCTGCCCCATGCAAAATGTGTAGAATTGTGGGAAATGAACTTAAAAACTGCAACATTTACTCTCCGCCAACAAGAGGGGTGTGAACAGTTTGGGGTTGCATGGGTTGCGAGGTGGGGGTTTGTTACTACGCCGATAAATGACATTATCCATCCGGACCTTTCCCACCTAGGAAATTTGTGTGACCGGACCTTCTCAAATAGTACTTGAGTACCCCTGCCCTATATAGTGCACTACTTTTGACCAGAACCCTATGGGATTCCCTATGGGCCCTGGTCAAAAGTAGTGCACTAAATAGGGATAAGAGTGCCATTTAGGATGCAGATGTGGAGACATTTATAGTCCTGCCTGTCTGAATCCTCCAGGAGAGATAAAGAGACTCTTTTATTTTCTTTTGGTTATCTTTTTATTTAGCTTTGGCTGCGGTATTGAGTGTTAGGTGTTTTGAGTGATAGGCTGGACTGGCATGTGGGGGGAGTGTGTGTGTGCATGTGTGCGTGTGTGTGTGTGTGTCTGCGTGTGTGCATGCACACGTGTGTATACATAAGTGTGTGTGAGTTTCTATCCAAGTGAGGATGGTAGGGTTTCGCTATTATATAAAATGTCACCAAATCCTAAGTGCCTTTTTAAAACGCAATAGCCTTGAAAATGTCAACACTTGAACAGTCTATTATATTTCAACCCTCCGGTCTTTTTCCCCGCTTCCTTTGATGATGTGCTCACATAACTCAGAATAGGTGAAGCAGATGAAACAGAATATTGAGTCATCGCCGTTTTCATTGATATATCTTTATTTTATAATTTTTTACATGTTTTAGTCATTTAGCAGATGCTCTTATCCAGAGCGACTTACAGTTAGTGAGTGCATACATTTTCATACTGGCCCCCTGTGGGAAACAAACCCACAACCCTGGCGTTGCAAGCGCCATGCTCTACCAACTGAGCTACAGGGGACTATATCCTCGTATTTCAAATCAAATCAAATTTTATTGGTCACATGCGCCGAATACAACAGGTGCAGACAAAACAGTGAAATGCTTATTTCTTCATATATCCTCATATTCACACTCAGTCTTCCTTTTCCGATGGTCAGGCTGTGTTCCGATTCTCTACCCTTCTCCCGAAGTGTACACTTGTACACTCCCCCTCATGGATTTAAAAGGAATTAACTGGTGTAGGGAATATGGTGCAAACTCCCTCCAGCCATGCTTGCACCAAACCAATGCTTTTAAATGCATGAGGGAGAGTGAACGAGTGCACACTTCGGGAGAAGGGTAAAGAATCGGAACGCAGCCTCCGTCAGGCAGGGAAAGAGTTAACCACCCCTAGCATCGTTGTCATGGTGAACATTGTGGAGAGACATTTTTGTCTTCCTAATCTCGCCTTCCATTTAGAATAATAATGACTGGAGAATCATACACTGCAGTAAAATGACTGATGAGAGGCCTCACTGTATTGTCGGCTGACGTGTTAGTGTGTGTGCTTTGCGTGTTTGTGTGAGATAGGGAACGGCGAGCGAGGCGTGGGCATACGCCAAAAATAAAGGCTTTGTTACTCCAGCTTCTCATTACAGATTCGGGGTGAACCCTTGTACCCCCAGACAGGCGGTCTGCTGTCACTTCCTGTCTGGGCCAGCCAAGCAATGCTATTGGCAGGCTATTGTTCCTGGGAGAGAGCCGATAGGATCAGGGAATGTGTCCTAATGTTTTCAGATTGCCTTGCCAGAGCAACAATTACACTTATAGAATGCTCCCAGAGGAGAGATAAGAGCCAGGGTGTGTGGTTAGTTTGTGTGCATGGGGGGGGGGGGGGGGGTTGTCTATTTTGTTGCTATAGTAGAATTAATGTGAACAATATGTATCTCCAACACACAGATATTATTACAAATCGTGCATCACTACATCACAAATCACATCACAGAATAAGAAGACAAATCACTCAAATCAATAAGTTATCACTTGAATAACAAAGTCTTTATTAGTAGATGTTTTGAGTCTGTGTATTAACCATATCTCTCTCTCTATCTCTCTCGCTCTCCCTCTCTTTCTCTCTCTTCCCCTCTCTCAGGTGAGGTGTGTGGGGGCACCCTGGATGCCAGCGACGCAGGGTACATCACGTCACCGGGCTACCCTCTGGAGTACCCGCCCCACCAGAATTGCCAGTGGGTCATCACAGCCCCGGAGCCCTCCCAGCGCATCGTCCTCAACTTCAACCCTCACTTTGAACTGGAGAGACTGGACTGCAGGTGAGAGAGAGGAGGGGGAGAAGGGGGAGAGGGGGGGAAAGGGAGAGAGGGAGGCTTTTTGGATATGCTTAGGCTAGAAAATGGTAGAGGGAGGAGGAGAAGGAGAGAAGGAGATTGACCAGGGATGGATTTAACTTCAGATCTGCCTTCAACTGGTTAGACATATGTAACAGAGTGTTCATAGTTAGCCATAGTTACAGTTTGGGCCATAACAGTAGGTAAGAGAGGGCCAAGACTGTCAGGGTTAATACCTGAAGATTGGTGAGTGGGGATGAACGAATAGACTTGATTGATAATAGAGAGGTGGATGAGGTTAATCGGGTGGAGGAGAAAAGGAAGGTGGATGAAAGAATGGAGAGAATGGTTGATAGAAAGTGTGGGATGATGTGGTGAAGTTTACAGGAAAACAGACTAGAGAGGGAGAGAGGGAGAGAGGGAGAGAGGGAGAGAGGGAGAGAGAGAGTAGAAGAGAATAGGAGAGAGAGAGAGAGAGAGAGAGAGAGAGAGAGAGAGAGAGAGAGAGCTATTACAGGCTAGATGGGAACCAGCTTGGTCAGTTTCCTCTTGATGATGTATAATATTAATCATATGCCTTTTTATTGTCTCTCTGACCTCATAGCAGTCAGTCACCATGCTCTGGCCTGGCCTTAACCCCTGCCTCCTACTGCTCTCTTAAAGCTGCACTATGCAGAAATTGCTGTGCCATTTCCTGGTAGCAAAAATTCTAATAGTTCGCCTAATTTCAGTTTACATCAAAAAACAAGCAAGTATGGTGTAGAGAATCATTCTACTATCTAAATCGCTGTGAAATATATTTTCCAAAAGCAAAATTTTCAGCTGTTTGAAGCTGGTGTACAAAACTGAAAGTAGAAGACGCAAAAACAAAATGTAAGAACGGGAAGCATAGAAATGGCGCACATAGAACAGATCTACCGCTTCTTAGACTTGCTTTCAATGAGAATGACATATCTATAACTCACATTTCTATGTGCATTTGGTCGGGTCTCCCAAAAAGTGACATATTGCAGCTTTAAAGGGGCAGTCTGGAACATACTGGATCTCTTAAAGGGGCAGTCCTGTAACTTTAATTTATGGTGTAAAGTAGTAATAGTGGAGGTGCGTAAAGATGGCGGCCCCTATCCACTTAACACAAATCCCTAGTTTTGCTAAGTTAGCCGTATTGTACATTGCTCCCCGTTACTCTTTAAAAAAAAAGTTCATTAGTACAGTATACATGATCCCAATTTTTGCTTCAAGACACCGGCAATTCGAAAAACCAAAAAAGTTGATTGTGCTGATTTATTGGCACATTGAACCATGTTGCGCACCGTAGTTTAAAAACTCAGTGGATAGTGCTAAAACAATGACGTCATATCTGAATTCTGCCATCTTTATGCACGTTCGCTATTACCTGATAAAATTATAAGGACATGACATACTCCAGGAAAAATATAATTGTAGTTTTAATAAAAAATCATAATAAGAGAAATAGTAGCCAATGTTTCGTCTAGATGTCATTAGAACTCCAATTAGACACACCTGTTATCTGGTCTTGTGTAACGTAATGCCCTTTTAAAATCCCCCTAGTCATAGATAGCATGTGTAGTTCTGTGATAGACGGATACAATGAATGTGCTCGCTGTCGATAAGCAGTATTTCAAGTCCTCTGTAGCTCAATTGGTAGAGCATGGCGCTTGTAACGCCAGGGTAGTGGGTTCGATCCCCGGGACCACCCATACGTAAAAATGTATGCACACATGACTGTAAATCGCTTTGGATAAAAGCGTCTGCTAAATGGCATATTATTATTATTACTGTATTGAGGGCTTAGAGAGGGAGAGAGCAGATAGAGAGAAGGGGGATGAGAGAGAGAGAGAAAGAGAAAGTTGAAAAGCCTCCTCAGGAATGTTCAACTTTTTCTGGGATGGGTTTTGTATTAGCCTGAGGGGACTGTGTGTGAACTCAAGCTTTGCCCTTTTCACACTTCCACTCAGCTGTGTGTGGGTGCATTTTGTAAACGCTGTGTGTGGGTGCATTTTGTAAACGCTGTGTGTGGGTGCACATGCCTCTGTTTTTGTGTTTGTGTGTGTGCATGTGCCCGTGCGTGCACATGCATGTGTGGGTGTGTGTTTCTTAGTGCGTGCGTGTGCATTCTCCGTATGTGTGTGTATGTCCTTATTTATGCGTGTATACATGCACATGCACACACGTTTGTGATCGGCAGAGAAACACATGGCAACCACTCTATCCATTCTGCATCCTTAGAGAAAAAGGCCCATACTTTACAGCCCCATTAGAAAAGAGAGCCACATCAACAATGTTATTTATTCATAGACCAACCTATAACTCCCTTTTCTCACTAATGCTGCTATAGCCTTTTTATGTAGGCCGCGTCCAAATGGCACCCTATTCCCTATATAGTGCACTACGTTTTGACCTGAGCGCACTGTACAGTATAGCGAATAAGGTGCCATTTGGGACACACATAGATTTAGTTTGTTGAAGATGTGTTCCTAGGCTCTCAGTGCCAAAACAGCAACAAAACAAAGTGGAGAAAGCCAAAGTGCAGCCCGACAGGCCGACACGCCCTCCTCTCCTCCCACAGAGTGCTTTAGACTGGGTTCAAATAGCTTCCAGTTAGTCTTTGTGGTGCAGCTGTGTGTTGTTTCTTCTTTCCTGAGTGATTAGGCATAGCAGTATGTCTGACTGAGGAGACAGGAGGGAGACTTGGAGTTTTTCTCTTCTGGTTTGAGGAGCGGTAATGCTGGACTGTATTCATTAGTGCACACCGTAGCAAACGTAGCAATTTTTTTCCAACGGAAAACTTTTTGAAACGAAAACAAGAGTTTCTTATTGGACAAGTTCAGGTTTGTCCCTCCTCGTTTCAGCCCGTTTCGTTCTTAGTGAATACACCCATGGAGGGGCAGAAGACTTGGTCAGGGTATTATTTAAATGTAATCTGAATATACTGTATATATAATGTAAATATTACAAATGGACTGTGTTTATTGTAAATAGGTGAGATAGTTGCGAGAATTGTAAAAGGCTTTAATCTATTACAGTTATAGTTCAATTACAATTACAGTTCTATGTAAGTTATGTCTTTTGTATGTCTCATCACCTCATACACACACACACACACACACACACACACACACACACACACACACACACACACACACACACACACGGCACTAGCCATAGGTCTCTCCTGAGAGTAGATTACTCTGAGACCCTGAGCAAGTGACCTCAAGGAAAGTGTTCGGTTGGCCCAACCAAGGTCAACCTTACTTTATAACCCACACCATACTGATGGCCACTCCCGGCCAACCAGCGCTTTCCCTGGGTTCAAAGAGTCAAAGGCTCTGGTAGCTTCAACCGCACAGACCATCATTGCTGCAGCAATAAAATATCCAGTGTTATGCAGACTTCACATATCTGAGGTGGCACTTTAATTCAGAATTTCATTTCAGGCAGAGTCCGGCAGGGTGCCAAATGGCTTTTACCTCCAAGCCCAGAGTAGATTGATGTGAAATAAATGCAATAAAGTCTGAGATTAAATATCAAGCCTATATCTCTAATGCAATCTGCCGTTGGCTGAGACCAGGACTGAAGGGATGATACCGAATATGGGGTGCAGGAGGTGCATCCCACTCTCTCCTTAAGCGCACTCCTCAGAGTTCGCTAGTGCTGCCGACGCGTCGAGGATCCAGAGTTAGGGAGGCGGGAGATTCTGCTCTCTTCGGATGCTCTAGCAGGCGGGTCTCGATATAGGCACGCGCACATCATCTCACGTCTCGCCGTCATACTAAGGAGCCCTATCGATCGCAGAGCGTCTCGATGAGGTCTCATCTAGTCGCTCAGCGTCTCGATATCTCATCGTCTCTTGCGGCTATCGCGCTTCATCGTTTCCTCGGTCTCTCTCTCTCTCTCTATCTCTCCTCGTCTCGCGGTCTCTCTCTCGCTCTCTCTCTATGCTCTGGGGGTGGAAGTGTTTTATTTTGCACAGTGGGATTAAACTAATTAAAGGATGTTTGCGGCACACCTACACAGTACACACACACACCATAACAACTGACACACACTTTCGCAAAGATCAATTTTCCACCCATATTGTTTTTATTCAACTTTTTTTATTAGGTCGTTTTTATTGGTTGTGGGGCCCAGGGCTCACATTGGCAACGGGAGGTGACGATTTAAAAGAGCTTTGATATCCGTAGAGTTCTATCAGCCTATCATCCTCCCTAAAACAGATTATTTAACTTTACAAACGGCACCCCATACTAATGTGCCTCAGGTTGCATCCCAAATGGCACACTATTTCCTATTTAGTGCACCACTTTTGACCAGGTCCCATAAGGAATAGGGTGCCATTTGGGACGCAGCCTTAGTTTCATCACGGGGGAAGTGTCATTGAGCCATAACAATGGAGAGGTTCAACGTGTGAGTGTGATATCATCCTCTGTGTCTGCTATACTCCCTGGGGGGAGACGGGAGCTGTTGGAATCAGATCAATGGCTGTTTTCCGCTTGTAATGAGGAATTGATGGGCCTTAGACGTGGGGAGTGTATGTATGTGTATGTGGGGGTGGGGACAGACAGATTAGTGAGGTCATTGCTTCAGGTCTGATCTGCCCAGTGCACAAGTCATGGTCATATATATATATAGAGAGAGAGAGAGAGAGAGGAGAGAGAGAGCAGGAGAGAGAGAGAGAGAGGAGAGAGGGAGGAATGAGAGGAAGAGAGAGAGAGAGAGGGAGAGAGGAGCGAGAGAGAGAGAGAGAGAGAGAGAGATTGAGGGGAGAGAGAAGAGAGAGAGAGGAGAGAGAGACAGAGACAGAGAGACAGAGACAGAGAGAGGTAAGAAGGTCATATGGGCATCCCAGCAGTAGATACTCACACCAACCAGACTGGCGGGATCGATGGTGATGCCCTTTTGAAAAGCCTCGGGCCGTAGCCTATAGGTCTATATAGACTCTTTGTGGTTAGCTGTTAACGGCTTAGCCCCAATCTGCGTCCCAAATGGCACCCTATTCCCTAAATAGTGCACACCGTATGGGCCCTGGTCAAAAGAAGTGCACTATATAAGGAATAGGGTGCCTTTTGGGACGCAGCCCCTGTTGTCTGTAACTGTAAGCAACGGTTCAGAGATGGCTGCTCTGAGTGCTATTTGTTCTAAGGCCAGATTGAAGATGGCAGCCGGGGGAATCTGTTGGGATTTCTCTCCCAGCGTCTATTTAATATTTCAGAGGCACTTATGCCTTATTAGGCGTACATGAGGTGCATGAGGCGGCTCAATGCTAGGCAGACTAAGAAGCCTTACTTTATTTTAGTGTCTGGGCCACAGCCCTGTTGTTGACCATCAGCGCCTGATATAGCTGTGGTTGTTGAGCACTTTAGATTATGAGGGAATTGTGGTAACAAATATATATTGTCTGGAATGGAAGCAACACACACACACAAATTCATAGCCATTATTCTTTTTTTGTATCCCCCTCAAAATAGCATTTTGTCAATATAAACTACACAGTTCAGTTGTGAGTGTAGATTACACCTGCCATGCCACTATTTTAGGAACAGATATTTGCATTTTTGTCAAGTGCAACACTCATCCCACAGAGTGGTGGAAGTGAACTAGACTCTAGACTCTAGTTGTTGCTCTCAGTGGTGAGATTGACAGTCTGGGGTCAAGGGTTAGGAGAAATGGTTTCACCCTAGTTATACCATGGCGTTACCAGGGTTGCTGCTGTGTCTCCCTCTCCCAGACACACAGATGCAAGCGTACACACCCACACCCACACGCACAGGCAAGCACGCACACACACGCATACACACACACTCCCAGACGAGGATATCTGTCTGAGGGGCGTCCCTGGCCTGGCGCCTGTAGGGAATGCACAGAGGTGGAGAAAAGTTCCAGAAAAACAAGGAAGGTGTGAAAGGTAATTAGCAGGGCCAGTGGAGGAGAGGAGAGGAGGACGGGGGGAAGGAGGAGAGGAGAGAAGACATGTCTGGACTGGTGCTGAACAACAGCCCTGAAGGACGTCCTTAAGTTTCCACTGCCCACCCCTTGTGGGTTTCTTCTGGCCTCTATGGAGAGCTGGTGGAAACCATCATGGCTCCCAACAAGCAGGACTCCATAACCCATAAAGACCCAGTCACATAGTGGGGGAGAGGAAGGAGTCAGAAAATGTGAGCGCTCAATTACATTTACATTTTAGTCATTTAGCAGACGCTCTTATCCAGAGCGACTTACAGTTAGTGAGTGCATACATTTTCATACTGGCCCCCCGTGGGAAACGAATCCACAACCCTGGCGTTGCAAGTGCCATGCTCTACCAACTGAGCTACAGGGGACTTCAAGGTGAATTCTAATGGACTGAGTGGGATGAGGGTGTGAGTGTTAGGGTGTTTGTCTGTCTGTCTGTGTGTGTGTGTGTGAGAGACTCTGTTCTCCCGCTCGGCCAGCCTTCATGCATGTATTCATCAGGGCCTGGGGAGACGGAGAGCTCAGGTCAATAATCACATCTGAGAAACACTCAGTCATCGCTTCTAATCCACGACAGGCAAGAGAGCCCACTCCCAAATCAATTAAAACCTAATTAGGCTCTCAGTTCCTTCTCAGGCCTTTTATCTTTTACGTACACACTGTGGTGTGTGTGTGTGTGTGTGTGTGTGTGTGTGTGTGTGTGTATTTTCCTTAAGCATGTGTCAGTTACAGCCCAAAAACACATTTTCTTTGTACACACACACACTCATGGATTGCTAGCTTTCTAAGCTTCACCAAGGGAGCTCTGCAGTAAGCCTCTTCAATAGCCACCGTGATGTAGCATTAGGTTGGAATGCGTGTGAATTGGATCAAGGCCCTCTCATCAGTGTAGTTCCATCCTGGGCCTGTGCAGGCTTTTGTTCCAGCCCAGCACAAACACACTTCACATCAACTAAATCATCAAGCCCTGATGAGTTAAATCAGGAGTGTTGGTGCTAGGCTCAAACAAATATGTGCACACCCTGTGAGGTTCCCTGAACCACCATTGACGGACACTGATATCTAGAGACAATCTAAACATTCCTGCTCCCAATAACAGTGTATTGGCCTGTATTATTTGTGTGTGTGTGTGTGTGTGTGTGTGCATGTGTGTGTGCATGCATGCTTTTGTGTTTGCATGTGTGTGTGTGTGTGTGTGTGTGCATGCGTGGGTCCAACACTGAACAGCTATCCAGTACTGTGCTGAAGGCTGCTGAAGGCCTTTCATTGTAATTAGATGTGAGACTGTTTCAACGGCTCTTGTTTGACAGCTCTGTCACATATCCAATTGAGACAGAGGAAGTGTGTGTGTGTCAGAGGGTTCCTGGTGCCATGCGGTTCATCACGAGGAAGATCACAACATGAGAGGAGAGAGAGAGAGAAAGAGAGAGAGGGGGACACTTATTAATTATCCATCCCAGGAAATCCACTGTGGAAAAGCTGAAATTCCCTATTTTCATTCATCTGCTTGCTCTGCGCTCATATTTAGCCTCACATTGAAGTGTTTTACCCTTTTCCTTACAGGACAACCAGGGCTACAAGTCGAAAAACAATTGGACATAAACAGTTGCATTCATGAATTTTATTGACAAATGTCAATAAAGATATAAGGTCTGCCAAGCAAAAACCGGATAAAAAAATCAGGGGAAAAAGTACAGAAATTGTTTGCTCACTGGGAAATGAATATCCAACTAGTCAGTGACATCTGTTTGGAGTTTGTGACAGCAACTATGTGAGCTTATTACAGTATTATAGACACAATGTCCTGGGATTTCCTATGATCTTCTATGTGGAAGAACACACACGCATGCACGCACACGCAAGCACACACATACACAGTACTTTGGCCCCTCTCCCAGCTTCCTTTCTGTTGAGTTGGCTAATTTTGGAGAGGCAGGTGGGATTTGTCTGAGTCCAAGTTTCCCCTCTCTCTGTCTCTGAAACGACAGTTAAGAATTTGGGTTAGTTCAGGGAGGTCAATAGGTCTGAGGTCAAAGGTCATATGGACTAGAGTTCAAGCACGTTGAGCCCCAAAGCCGTTTTTTCTCTATTCTTCTCTTTTTCTCTTGGTTTTAAGCTTGAATGATCTATCCAAGCATTCTACTGAAATCAATGCATCCTTCTCAAAGCACCTCTTTTAACATATACATGTTTAAATTAATCTGTAGGTACGATGTCCATATTAGGACAGTCTTAGTTTTGATGAGATTTAAACAACTCTTCCTGAGACTGAGGCTGTCCTAATATGGACACCGCACATCAAAACATTGCAAGAATTGTTCATGAACTTCTCTCTATCGCATTCTCAGGTATGACTTCATTGAGATCCGTGATGGTGGTTCGGACTCGGCTGAGCTGCTGGGTAAACACTGCAGTAACATCGCCCCCCCAGCCATCATCTCTTCTGGTACCGCCCTGCACATCAAATTTGTCTCAGACTACGCCCACCAGGGGGCTGGCTTCTCGCTGCGCTACGAGATCTTCAAGACAGGTGAGCCAATTCTCAAATTATGTTCGGTGCCTCGTTATTGAGGCGTTTTGATGGGTTGTTATTTTGGGGGGTTTTCCGTGATCTTTACGACAGGTGAGTGAATTCTCTAATTCTGCCTGATGACCTCTTATTGGAGTGTTTTGATTGGTTGCTGATCATTGGGGTGTCGATGTTATTGGTTGTGTATTGGGACGTTGTTGTTTGACTGGTTGCTGATAGGTTGGGATGGAGACATATGTAGAGAGACTTTGGCCAATCTTAGATGGATGCCAAGTTGTTGCCTCTGAGCATTCTATTTATCCAATAAAAATGTGTATTTGGACTGCTATTGGTCAATATTGCCGATGAGGCGCTAACATGGATTTCATCAAACTGAGTTCATACTAATACATTTTGGGGTTGAAACCACAATGGCCAAACTCTCTCCGATGGCTCTGGGTGGCCATTCCCCTAACTAGCTAACTAGCCTTGTGGAACATGGATGGTTGACTGAGTTCTTGCTATGGATGCCTCGGGCAGAACGACCTATGATGACCTTCACCTTAACGTAGGGGCGTCTACCACACACACGCACACACACACACTCACTCACCTCGCAACCTCACACACACCCCGACACTCCCAGACCAATTAACTTCAAGAGAGGCGGGGAGGAAAATAAACATGGTTTTACAGGAAAGGGGAAAAAAGCCCTTAACTCTTTTCATCCTGTCTGAAAAGCATCTCAGGAATGCCTCTTTTAATTGGCCTGGGATCTTCTTCATCTTGAGGGGGAGGAAGGGGCGGGAGGGGGGTGATGGAGAGAGGTTACAGGTGGTATAGGGAGATGATGAGGAGGGAGGGGTGAAGAGGAAGGGGCAGGATGGGGGAGGGTGATTGAGAGGGGCTACAGGCGGTGAGGAGATTATTATTGGGAGAGGGAGAGGGTAGGGTGAGGATGGGTTGGGATTTGAGTTTAACGATGGTGCTGGTGGTGGTAGTGCATAAGAGGAAGTGTACTTGACATACAGTACATTTGCAGTAGTGTGCTGATACACTGTACTGAGCTATACTGATACACTCTGTACTGAGCTGTGCTTTGCTGGTAAGATCCCATTGACATTGATTTGTTTGGGTGGGATTGACTTGTGCGAGAAAGAGTACTGAACAAAAAAAGATTGTTTCTTATTCAGGTAGTAGTACCTCCTCTGTTTCAAAACGTTTTGAAACGTGATTTGAAAAACGACTGTTTTCAACGTGGCCCAGTTTTGTCATTTAGCTCTGTTACCAAGGCCACCAGCACTAACCCTAATGATATGATGATGTGATAGGGCTAATATTATGGACGCATACACACACTCTGTAACAGAATGGATGGGTATGCTGTTGCCATGGTTTTAACAAGAGCCTGCTATGCTTTTGGGGTGCAAAAACAATGGTATGCGTATGTAGGTGTATATTTATATATGTGGTCGTGGGTGGTTACAGTGTGCTTGGGCGTTATAGGATTCTGTTTGTGTCTATGTAGGCGTATAGATGTGTGTGTGTGTGTGTGCGTGCATGCTCAATGGTTCTGTGGGTGTGTGCATGTGCATGTGTCTGTTCCTGTTTCTGTATGAGAGAGATCGGCACGCAGAGCATATGTTTTGGAGTCCCTTTGCATCCTTCACCCATCATGGTTGTTTGTTTTAACATGTCAGGCTCGGGCCAAATAGTTCCGCAAACCACAGTAGTTTACGAGTTCTGGAAGAACATTAGAGAGTGCCAGGCACAACCCCCCAGTGAGAGAGCTGTTGTTTATTTACAATGATGTTTGTGCATGAGGGATGTGTGTTCTAGTCTTATTTGTGTGTGTGTGTGAGTGTGTGTGTGTGTGTGTGTGCGTGTACATGTTCTAGTCTTATTTAAGTGTGTGCGTGCAGTGTGTGTGTTTATGCATCCGTATGTGTTTTGAGAGATATGATCTTAGGTCAATACACAGCTTGGAGGTGTGTCTGTCCAGCTGGCGGCTGTCCTCAGCCAGAGCCTGACCCTTCAGTCCTACTTTCGCTGCTGATCAGGGTCGTGTTCATTAGGGCACACAATGGAAAACGTTTCAAAACAGTTTGCAATGGAAACTACACGTCCAGGTAATAGTCCCTCACTGTTTCAGTCTGTTTTCTTCAGTTTGGTGCCAAATGAACACAACCCTGCAGAATATCTCTTCTCTTCTCTTAGACTGCCCTCAGCACCCAGGGGTAATAGCTTCATTCAGAGAATACACTGTTACGTAAGCAGAGTGTGTGTGTGTGTGTGCGTGTGTGTGTGTGTGTGTGTGTGTGTGTGTGTGTGTGTGTGTGTGTGTGTGTGTGCAGACATGCATATGCGTTTGTGTATACTGTACACCCCTTCCTATTTTCAGTGCCAATAATGGATACAGGGATAATAAACAGCGATAAGATATTTGACTTCTCACCCTTAACTGTATTCCCTAATCCCTTTTCCCCTGAGCCCCCATCCCCCTGAGGGAGCGTGTGCCCCAAAACAACAACCCTCCAACCCCACCCCCATCCCACACACATGCACCATAACCCCACCCCACTGCATAACCCCACCCCACAACATTATTGTTGTGCCCTACTTTCCTCACACACACTGGCGTATTAACCCCTCATAGCAAACCGGCCCCCCACTCCGCCCCCTGTCATGTGACTCTGTTACTGTGACGCTGTTACCATGGCTACTGCGGGAAGACTTCCAGCAAAGCGACCTCCTCCAGCCTCCACCACTAGCGGAGCCAATCGTGAGTCATCTTTCTGTGGTTCCCCTTGGGGTCATGGTTGACTCTGTCCCCCCCCCCAGTCACCCGGTCGCAGTCACCCGGTCGCTCCCCCCTAACCTAGTCTGTAGGGTCACCTTTGGAATGTAGTGGAATGTAGCCCAGATTGACAAGGGTTACTGACCTGGCTGTGAGCCCTTCCTAACTGAATAAAGCATGACTTAAGTGTAGTGTTCTCTGATCCAATGGTTGTGCGAGCATACATGCACTCGTAAATAGACTGCTGTGCGTAAATAGACTGCTGTGCTTAAATAGACTGCTGTGCGTAAACTGGCCAAGCTGTGGCACGCTCACAATGTTGTTTTGCTTTTCTTGGGTTTCCTGACGATGTTGTTGTTGTTTTTATCCTGACCCCCCTCCAGACACACACAGACACAAACACACACAACACACACCCCTCAAGTGTATCTCCGTGAAACCCTTGAGTTGACTCCAGCAAGAGTAGGCCGCGAGACGGAGAGAGAGAAAGAGAGAGAGAGCGGGAGAGAGAGCGTGTTAAAGAGGTTGTAATGTGCAACAGACGTGCACAAACGTGGAGGTGAACTCTCACAGCATGAGGTGCATGAGGAGAGGGAGAGGAAGATGAAAAGAGGAGGAGGAGGAAGAGGGTGACTGAACAGACTACACATCCCTCCTAGGGATGAAGGAATGGAGCGGGGGGAGGGAGGGGGAGGGAGGGAGGGAGGGAGGGAGGGGGGGATTCCCTGACACAACATGTGCAGAGACTACTCCGTCAGGCACTCGAGCGGAAAGCACCAACGCATTTCTACCCAGCAACTACCCCCCCCCCCTCAACCCCCCGCCGGCAGACAGCTCTTGCCAAATGGCTGCTCGTGGTGAAATGTGCAAGCCAGGCGAGTGGGGGGGGTTGTTTTTGGCATGTTCATATACTTGAACTAATAAGGACTAACAAAAGCCAGAGTACTCATGCATACACACCCTCTCTCACACACACGCCACACACATATTTGGCATGTGGCGGTGTGAGCGTGCGAGACGGGTGGTACCACACACACAATGGGTTAATATAGGCGTGCAATGGTGTGATTGAAGCCCTCTTTCTTCTGCCTGGGTAAGAGTCTGGTGCACCCTGACCCAGTATTGAGGAAAACAGGGCCAGTGGGCCAGTGTGTCTCACACAACATGCTGAGGCTTACCACACACTCACATACACACGCAGAGGCATACCACACACTCACATACACACGCAGAGGCACACTTTCATTCACAAACACATACCCTGTCTATCATATACCACAAAACCTATGTAGAATGTAGTATGCGTTTTCATCTAATTACACACACTGGCACACTTTCACAGTGTCACGCATGTTATTCGACACAAACAGTATTACACCCTCTCTCATACACACACACAGCATTCCCTAGTGAGGGGCAGTCAATGAGCAGTAGTAGACCTTGCTGGAGTAGTGTTTTAACATGCTTTCTCCTGGATTTGTCTGTTGTCTGTGTGAGTGTGTGTTTCCTCTCTTCCTGTGGTGAAAGGCAGCAGTCCCCATCTCCATGAGGTCTATAAAAGTGTGGAGGCCTGGTGACTAGTTAAGGCAGGCTTCACACAGGCCTTGTCTCTACTCGTTAAACGAGAGGGGCTGACTGACCACCGGAGGCACAGGAGACACGCACGCACACACACACACATACATGTACACATGCACGGATGGACAACACACATGCGCAAGCACGCACGCACACACACACACACACACACACACACACAACACACACACACACACACACACACACACACACACACACACAAAGGCCTTTGGAGACACACCTCAAAGACATGTCAGGGCTATATCATTGCTATGTGCTGTTGGTAGAGCTTGTCTGTGTATTGACAGTTTGCGTTTTGTAAGTATGCGTATATGTGTGTGACCGATCAATGTTTTGAATAACAAGAGAGGGAGAGGAGAGAGAAGAGAAGAAAAGAAAAGAGAGAGAGACAGAAAGAGAGGGTGAGAGGTGGGAAAACAGAGAGTTTGGGTATTGTAAGGTGCAAGTATATGTGATCAGTGTTTTGAATAAATGAGAGAGAGAGAGATCACAAATCATTAATGTGCACGTCCATAAACACTCAGTAACCCAGGGGGAAGTTTATATGGGAGGCACATCTGTCGAGAGCTCAAGGTGAGCCGCCCAGGGCGCATAAATCTGCATAGCTAATGAGCTGCCGGGCCGCTTAGCGAGTTTACTCCTGTTTGTTTTGGCATGTGTTTTTCTTTTCTCTTCTTTTTTTGAAGCAAGGGAGTGAATGCAAGGCTTACCGGGCCGTGGGGATGAATATGAGGTTTATGATGAGGCGTGTGTCAAAGGTCAAATGGGGGTGCTTATATTTGTCCTGTTTCACTGCATGTACAAGTGGATAACCTGTACGAGTGTGAGCTGTGAAATGGAAATGTGTTTTTTGCATATCCCAACTCCCCCTGAGACACCCTCGGAGACTGGGGTCATGGCCAGGGATCAGCCATTATTGACGGTGAACCTGGAGCAATTAGGGTTAAGTGCCTTGTTCAAGAGCACATCGGCAGATTTTTTACCTAGTCAGCCCGGGGATTTGAACCAGCAACCTTTTCGGTTACTGTCCCAACGCTCTTAACCCGCTAGGGTACCTGCTGCCCTGTGTGTGTGTGAGAGTGTGTGCATGCATGCGTGTGTGTGTGTATGTGGGGATACATTGCTCATATCTGTGTCCTGTGTGTGTTTTCCATAGGATCGGAATTCTGTTTCCGGAATTTCACCAGTCCTTCCGGAGTGATCGAATCCCCTGGCTTCCCTGACAAGTACCCCCACAACCTGGAATGTTCTTACATCATCATAACTCCGCCCCACATGGACGTGACCCTGACCTTCTTGACCTTTGACCTGGAGAACGACCCCCTGCTGTCAGGAGAGGGAGACTGCAAGTATGACTGGCTGGACGTTTGGGACGGTCTGCCCCAGGGTGAGTGCTTACCAGACAAATACACACACATGCACACACACACTTTCATACACACACACATACACACTGTATGAGGCACATGCATGTATTTGAACACAAACACACACATACACATACACAGCATCTACAATACCTCAATGGAGCTTTTCCTGCAGCCTTTGTCTCAATAACAATCCAGGAACTAGCCCATTCCTCCATTAGCCATTCTACAGTGGGCACATTAGTTCACCTCCCAGGACTAGGCCTTTCCCATGACCTGTTTCCCATTCATCCCCTTCATCAGGCCGACTTTGCCCCACTTCCCCCTCGCTTCAATCTGCCCTTATCACACAGCACTTTTTTCCTGTTTGGGAATAGGGAGTATAGTAAAGTTGCCCCTAGATGCTGATCTTGGGTCAGTTTTGCATTTTTCTCACAAATGGTTAAGGTTAGGATTGGGGGAGGGGAAGCTAATCCTAGATCTGTACCTAGGGGAAACTTCACACTGAAGTGAGAATGCATGGCATGAGGGGTATCGGTTGCCGTGGCGGTGAGGCGCCTGTGGGCGGAGTTACATCATGCACCATAGCTCCACGCTAGTGGTATCAGGAGAGATCAGGAAGGAAGGGAAGGAGAAAGCACTAGTGGGAGAAAGCTCTGGAGAGCGGTATCAAAGCTCTTCGTATCTGCCGCTGGGGCTGGGAGCAAGATGATGATAGATTATTAGAGAGGAGAAGTTTGACTCTCACTTGCTCAAATATTTGAAACTTGAAATGGCGGCTGTAAAGTATTGGGCATCAGTTCCATTTCAACTCAGAGAAGAGAGACAAGATTCACTGAAATGCATTGAAATTCTAATTCAAGAATAGATTTTTTTGAACAAGGGATTTTTCATTAATTGAATTAAGAATTTCAATTAACTTCATTGATTGGCTGAATTGAAATGGAATTGATCCCAACCCCATCGAGCACATTAGTCGAAACACTGAAGAGTCTTTAGATCTGAAGGAAAGGAATGGAAAGCTGATTTGGGGAATCTTTAGGAACATTGTGTGTGTGTCTGTAATCCTGGGGGGCTGGGTGGGATTGAGAAGATTGGGTGACAGCAGTGTATAATCTAAAGTCTGCCCCACAGTGGGTCTTAATCCCAGCCTAAACCACACGAGACGGAGAGACTCATGCTGAGACACAGACCTTCAGCTTTGTCTATAGGTGCTTACTCCAGTTTAAGCCTATGTCTGGACTAAAAAGCACTTTCTATGGAAATGCACACATTCCATAAAATATACTGGTGCTAATAAAACATTTTAAATCCTAAGTAAATATATAAAAAATAGGAAACACATCTGAGTTTGCTTTTTGCAGGTGTGTAGGAATCATATGAGGATATCGAATAAACGTGCAAGTTTTTATGTTATGAAATAAATATATTAAAAGGTCTAACAAGTATTTTCTTCAGTTTAAATCAAACACTGAAAACATACTGTACATTTTGTATGAAGATCCCTCCTAACTATTTGTGTCTGTGTGTGTTTCCAGTGGGCCCTCTGATCGGTCGTTACTGTGGTACTAAGATTCCTCCTGAGATCAAGTCGTCGTCTGGTCTACTGTCTCTGTCCTTCCACACGGACATGGCTGTGGCCAAAGACGGCTTCTCTGCCCGCTACAACATGACACACAAGGAAGTCAGCGACAGTAAGTAGCCCACCACTCTATCTGTCTCTGTCTGTCTGTCCGTCTGCCTTTCTTTTTCTCTCTCTCTCCTTCCATCACTCTCTCCATCTACCATTCTATATGTGTCCTGTTGTGTGTTTCTATCTCTACCTCTCTTGATCTCCCTTTCACTCCCTCTTCTCTCTCTCTCTTTCCCTCTCTCCCCAACCTCGCTCTATCTCTCCCCCTCTAACTCTGGTCTCTCTCCCCTCTTTCCCCCAAACTTTCTCTGTCTCCTAACCACCCTCCCTCCCCTGGCCCTTTTCTCTCACTTCCCCCTGTAATTATCCCCCCCCTCCCTCCTCTCTCCACAGCGTTCCATTGCAGTACAGCGTTTGGTCTGGAGTCAGGGAAGATTTCGGACGACCAGATCTCAGCCTCGTCCTCCTTCTACGACGGCCGCTGGTCTCCTCGCCAAGCCAGACTCAACAACATCGACAACGCCTGGACACCCAGCGAGGACAGCGGCAAGGAGTACATCCAGGTCAGACAGCCCCCCCAAAAAAGAGAGAGAGAGAGAGAGAGAGAGAGAGAACACCCTCCCCCCACCACACACAAACACTGTTTTGACAATATGCAGTGTGCGGAGCGGATGCAGGATGCTATCTGTCACTAGATAGATGAGTTTGCTACTCAGGAATGCGCTGTTAGCAGTGGAAGAGTGTGCCATTGATTTTTACCTCCTCCTCTCCCTCATCCCGCTCTCTCTCCCCAACAGCAGCCCCATAGGGCCTGGCAGCACTCCCCCCTGTCTATGTAACAGATGGACATAGCTCTTAACCTGATCTATTTATGGGGGTATATGACTCAAAAGAGTGCAGGATCTGCAGAGTTACTTCATATCTCTATTGTACCAATAACCTCACCTACTAGGTCTCTTGTTCTCTCTCTGTGCCTGGAAAAATGGAGGGAGGTAGAATAGAGCAGAATATAATATAATTGAATTGTATTGAATCAAACAAATAGCTACTTTATTGTAATTTTTTTGTAATAAATGGAAATATATCTTCTGCTTCTTCTGAAATGTATCTCATCATTTTCAATCTCTTCCCCTCTTCCCCCTTCCACCTCTCTCTCTCTCTCTCTCTCTCTGTCTCTCTCTCTCTCTTTCTCTCCCTCTCTCTCTCTGTCTCTCTCTCTCTGTCTCTCTCTCTCTGTCTCTCCCTCTCTCTCCCAGGTGGACCTCCACTTCCTCAAGGTGCTGACGGGTATCTCCACCCAGGGAGCGGTCTCCAAGGAGACACAGAAGTCCTACTACGTGACCACCTTCAAGCTGGAGGTCAGCACCAATGGAGAGGACTGGATGACCTATCGCTATGGCAAGAATCACAAGGTAATCTAGAACCCCAATGTAGCAACTGGAACCTAGAACCCAAATGTGGAACCTGAAATCTAGAACCCCAATGTGGAACCTAAAACCTAGAACAGTATGAAAATGTATGCACTCACTAACTGTAAGTCGCTCTGGATAAGAGCGTCTGCTAAATGACTAAAATGGAATGTAAAATGTAACTCCAATGTGCAACCCGGTTCTCAAAGTCTCAGTTGGTTGTATATCTGTTCTTTCAACTGCAGCTTAGCTGGCAAAACTGGTTGAAACAACGTTGTAAGGAATGTGAAATTGGTTGTAATGTCATTTCAAACAGTTTTGCCCGCTGGGAGACTAGCTGGTTCAATTCGCTCTGGATAAGTGTGTCTTATACTCAAATGTAAATGTAATGTAATTCCCACATGGGTCATGTAATTCAAAAGTACACTGCTCCCAAGACGAATCTCTATTAAGCTTGTGTGATTGACCTAAGCATTTAAACCATATTGAAAATGGGAGTAGTTTGGCCCTAAGTGAGGAGGTATTGAAGCTGTTGTATTGGGGCAGTTTTATAAAATATACAGACTAAAACTAAAACTAGATTAAAACCTTCTTAATTTGTCTGAAATATATCCCAGTTATCAAGGCCAGGAAAGTTAGCTGCTCTGTTGTTGCTCTTCCGATGATACTGTGGGAATGACTGGGAATGACTGGGAATTATTTTGAGATTCCTGTTGGGAATGTGTATTGACATGAGTCATGTCCCTAGCCCATGAAGTGTCTTCCTGAAAGACTTTGGAAGGAGGGAGGGATGGAAAGGAGGGAGGAACCTGCCAAACATGAACAATAGAGTTCTCTGTGTGCCCATATCTATCTCTGCTATTCATCATCCTTTCACACACACACACACGTACACACCAGTGTGGTTGCAAACACAGCTGGAGCGTGGAAGAGGTGTGTGTGTTTGTATGTGTGTGCGTGCTCGCTTGATTGAGTTTGTTTATGTTTGTCAATTGGATAAAGTATGAATTTAATACTCGTACTCAATGTGAACGCGAACTCTTGACCCAGATATGAATGTTAAAGCCACAGTGGACTGTAGAGAGGGGGAGAGTAATCTGCTTTTTTATCCCAACCTCCTTTCTCCCTTTGGGGCCCCTGTCTGTCTGTTTCAGCTTTGGGTGGCGGTGGGGGGCATACAATGTCTGTGAGGCGATTATTTGAGGAAATGGATTTAGAATTAAATTAAAAACTCAACTGCTGGAAACCCCCCCCCCCTCCCCGCACACACACCACCGCTGACCTTAGAGCTGACTGTCTGGACTGGAGATCAGTTTTGACCAGGGGTGTGTGTGTAGGGTTGGGGGGGGGTCACAGTCTGTCTAGTAATAACCAGAACATCCATGTACATGTACGTACAGACACACATACAGTATGTGCATACCAGACGTAGGTTCAAATAGATGGGCGGGGTTTGTACATTTTAGACTATTCTATTGGTTCATGCACACGCACAGGTCTGGTACACAGGTGCACACACACATGCACCCTGAACATCATAGAAACAGGTCATAATACTTATTCTAACAGCCTCTTTCAATGCACTCTCAGTGGACGTTATCCAGATCCATACAAGGTATAATGTCCCCTGTCCCTATGTATGTTCCGTGACAGTTAATCCATCAATGGTGGCGTGCGGACAGACACAGAGTTGGAGTTAGCCTGGCCCTAAGGCCCTAAGGCCCTAAGCCCTTAGAGATCCTTTAAGTGTTTAAACCAGGAAACACGACGGGGGGCATGTCAATGAAAGGAGAGGGATTTGCCCTTCTGATTGTCATTTAACAGTTAGTTCCTAGCTAAATTAATGGGCTGTTTATGGGAGTGCCGGAGTGTGTGTGTGTGTGTGCGTGTGCGTGTCACACTGGTGATATGTCGTCAGATGTGGCTTTGGTGGTATATTGTCAGGTATGAGTCAACTACAGTATGAGTAAAGGGATTGGCTTGGGACTTCCTGTCCGTCTGCTGAGTGTGTGTGTGTTTACAGGATGTGTTTGTCTATGGATCTGTGTATGTCTGCGTCTGTATTTATTTATGTGCAGAAGTGTGTGTGTGTGTGTGTGTGTGTGTGTGTGTGTGTGTGTGTGTGTGTGTGTGTGTGTGTGTGTGTGTGTGTGTGTGAGCAGTGGGGAGCAGGGTGCCGACACACGGAAACCGCAGCAGGAGGTCGCAAGTCATTGTTCCGTAGCGAGCGACAGAAGGTTTGAAACATCAGCAGTTCTCATAAAGCGGATCTGAAGAATCACGCAAACAAACACCAGGGTCTTATTCATTAGTGCATTTCTTATTGGACAAATTCAGTTTGCTCCCTCCCTGTTTCAGCGTGTTTGCATCCGTTTGGTTCCTGGTAAATACACTCAATTTCTATGATTTTGACTGAAATGGCATCATAGCATAGAATTCCATTTGTGCCAAATTGCTATTCCTCTTCCTCTGTGTGACTGGCAGTTTGTTGTTGGAGCATGTGTGACTTATTAAAAAGGCATCATGCTACTCACACATGCACATCGTTACTTGACACGGCTCTCGCACACTCTCACGCATAGGAGCGGTATATCAGCAGCACTCTGACACACATGCATTTGCACACACACACATACACACACACACAAACACACACACATTGTGCCTGAATGGGGGAATCACATTAGCCCAAATAATAAACAGACACGGTGTGTGTCGCGGAAATGCATTGTCTTACTGTGCTAAATCTGTCACTCTGTAACCTGGGACAAAAACAGCCCACACTGCAGTTACAGCCTGTTACTCTCAGTCACAAACACTAGCTGTGTCAGACACACACACACACACACACACACACACACACACACACAGGCATGTTTACACACTCTGGCACATAGATACACACACATAGGCATGTAGACACACATAAACCTATCACACACACACTCACCCACACACTAACCCACGCACACACTTGCATTTTGATGAGAGAGAAATGAAATAAGTGGGGCGGAGTGGGAGACATTGACAAAAACAACTGTGTGAGGGGGTGGGAGACCGTTTCAAAGGAGTGCTGTACCTCAGCATCCACACACACGCACACATCCCTCCATCCTGGCCTCCTCTTTGAGCCACTAGTGGAGAGCAGCCAGTTGGAACCAGTTCTTACTGTCAACATCTTCATACGGAGCGAGAAACGAAGGGCAGGAGGTAGGGGGATGGATAGAAAGAGAGACAGAGAGAATAATGTCTTGTGCAGAGCTTGGCCACATCTCCCTGTGGTGCCATCAGCTTCAAGGAAAACACAGCAGAGACGGCAGCGGTGTGCCAAAAGCACAGAGACAGGGAGAGAGAGGGGGAGGAAGAGAGGTGGAGGGGGAAATGGAGGGACAGAGAGAGAAGGCAAATGGATAATCTCAGGATGGGTAGCTTCTCTCTCTACTGTATCTCTCTCTCTCTCTCTCTCTCTCTCTCTGTACAGGGGATGTTCTCTCTACTCTGACAATAGAGCACTATCATGTTAGCTGCAGTAGGTCTCCATTTGTTATTTCTGTTTTCTCTCCATCTTGTTTTTAGAGAAGTGTTTTCATCTGGGAGACTGTCTGACACTATCTCCTTCCACTACTCTACACACATGCACACACACTCTCTCTCTTTCGCGGTGACCCCATTCTTCTCCGGAGGGTCATCAATAGTTAAATATCCATGGTGCCTCTGTCCCGCCGGTGTCCATCCGCTCCAGGCATTTGACCGTCACATAAATGTGGGAGGGGTTCCGCGGCGTGTGTGTGTGCGAAGTGGCGCAGGAGGGCTAGGGTAGGGTGGGTTAAGGGGTTCGTTGGGGGGTTCGTTATAATTTAATGACCTGCCACATGAGGAGACAACATGACAATGTTAATTATTTAGCCCTCTTCGCCCTGTGTGCTGAGTAGGGGCGGAACTAGACTGGTTACCCCCCCCCCCCCCTATTCCCTCCCGTCGTCAGGCAGATTATAAGGGTCGCCCAGACGACTGGCTGATTGACACACACAGTCTGCCATAGCAACAATGGCACATCCCATACCATCACATACAATAACACACTCATGTAATTTGCATGAACACATATGATGTACATAGAGCGTACACATGCTCTGACAAAAACTCATACACACTCATATACACACATATACCCAAACATCAACTCTAACCCACACACACACAAACACAGACACACACTCACACGCGCACACACACACACACACAACTTTATGACCCCTCACCTGTTTCCAGCAAATGTCCAGGTGTCTAATGAGCTGAATGACCTTTGACCCTGGGGATAGGGATATTGAGGTTAAGGGTCAGGATGTGACTAGAGAGAGGAAGAGGAAACAGAGGGCACTGGGGATGTCTGCAGCACGACTCTCCTTCACCTATCCCCCACCCTCATCTCTCTCTCTCTCTCTCTCTCTCTCTCGCTCCCTCTCGCTCTATTTCTCACTCTCTCTCATATCCTTCTTTATTTTCTAAAAAAAACTCGCCCTCTCGCCCTTGTGTTTTTCCCCCAAAAAAATGTCTCTTGAATGTGCCTGACATCACAAAATGGAAGTTTCCTTGTGGAAAAAAGGAAGTTCTTCTAAAATGTAGTTTTAAGTCTAAGGACGAATCTGTGTGGTGAATGGTGGTTGGGGCCGTTAAAAGATAAGTGACATTATCTCTATACCGTCTGGCAGTAAGTGAGAACTGGTTATGTTTACTTCTGGAGGACGGTTTGTGGTTTGGACTCATGGGGGTTAGGTTAACACCCACACACACATGCGTGTGAACACACACAGTGCAGAGGGCCAGAGGACAAGTAGCAGTGCTTTCTAGGTTCCCACCTTTGGGGGGGGGGGGGGGGGCTAAGGTGCCACTGACCCGTCTCAGCCAATCAGAATATTCCATACCTGAAGCGAAGCATTACAAAATACCGGGGGACAGAGTGGCCTGGGACACAGGGAGAGGAAGATCGGAAGAGCTAGAGAGAGTGAAAAGACAGTAGCGAGGGTGAAAGTGAGGAAGAGAGAGTGAAGGAAAGGTTGGTAGAATAATTATAGCCTCAGATACATGGAGAGGAGAGGGAAAGATAATACAAATAAAGTCAGAGAGAAGGAAAGACAAGGAAGGATATATAGAGTGAAAGAGAGAGAGGGAAAGCGAGAGAATGACACAAAGGAGAAGAGCGAAAGAGACACATTGAAAGCACATTCAAGTATTTGACTATAGGCCTACATTGCATATGACAATAGGCCTGCATTTCATACAAAAACATTGCTTTAAATAAGCCTTATTTAAACCTCTAGCCCTGGCTGTCTATCTGGTGCATCTTAGGCAATAATACAGTGCCTTGCAAAAGTATTCATCCCTCTTGGCGTTTTTCCTATTTTGTTGGATTACAACCTGTAATTTAAATGGATTTTTATTTGGATTTCATGTAATGAACATACACAAAATAGTCCAAATTGGTGAAGTGAAATAAAAGAAATAACTTGTTTAAAAAAATTCAGAAAAATAAATAACGGAAAAGTGGTGCGTGCATATGTATTCACCCCCTTTGCTATGAAGCCCCTAAATAAGATCTGGTGCAATCAATTACCTTCAGATGTCACATAATTAGTTAATTAAAGTCCACCTGTGTGCAATCTAAGTGTCACATGATCTGTCACATGATCTCAGTATATATACACCTGTTCTGAAAGGCCCCAGAGTCTGCAACACCACTAAGCAAGCGGCACCATGAAGACCAAGGAGCTCTCCAAACATGTCAGGGACAAAGTTGTGGAGAAGTACAGATCAAGGTTGGGTTCTAAAAAAAATATCCTAAACTTTGAATATCCCACGGAGCACCATTAAATCCATTATTAAAACATTGAAAGAATATGGCACCACAACAAACCTGCCAAGAGAGGGCCGCCCACCAAAACTCACAGACCAGGCAAGGAGGGCATTAATCAGAGAGGCAACAAAGAGACCAAAAATAACCCTGAAGGAGCTGCAAAGCTCCACAGCAGAGATTGCGTACACTGCACAGAGCTGGGCTTTACGGAGGAGTGGCCAGAACAAAGCCATTGCTTAAAGAAAAAAATCATCAAACACGTTTGGTGTTCGCCAAAAGGCATGTGGGAGACTCCCCAAACATATGGAAGAAGGTACTCTGGTCAGATGAGACTAAAATTAAGCTTTTTAGCCATCAAGGAAAACGCTATGTCTGGCGCAAACCCAACACCTCTCATCACCCCGAGAACACCATCCCCACAGTGAAGCATGGTGGTGGCAGCATCATGCTGTGGGGATGTTTTTCATCGGCAGGGACTGGGAAACTGGTCAGAATTGAAGGAATGATGGATGGCGCTAAATACAGGGAAATTCTTGAGGGAAAACTGTTTCAGTCTTCCAGAGATTTGAGACTGGGACGGAGGTTCACCTTCCAGCACGACAAAGCAACATACTGCTAAAGCAACACTTGAGTGGTTTAAGGGGAAACATTTAAATGTCTTGGAATGGCCTAGTCAAAGCCCAGACCTCAATCCAATTGAGAATCTGTGGTATGACTTAAAGATTGCTGTACACCAGCGGAACCCATCCAACTTGAAGGAGCTGGAGCAGTTTTGCCTTGAAGAATGGGCAAGAATCCCAGTGGCTAGATGTGCCAAACTTATAGAGACATACCCCAAGAGACTTGCAGCTGTAATTGCTGCAAAAGGTGGCTCTACAAAGTATTGACTTTGAGGGGGTGAATAGTTATGCACACTTAAGTTTTCTGTTGTTTTGTCTTATTTCTTGTTTGTTTCACAATAAAAAAATATTCAAAGTGGTAGGCATGTTGTGTAAATCAAATGATACAAACCCCCAAAAAATCAACTTTAATTCCAGGTTGTAAGGCAACAAAATACTTTCGCTAGCCACTGTACATGTTTCTACAGTGTATGTGTCCCAAATGGCACCCTATTAACTTTGTAGGGCTCTGGTCAAATGTAGTGCACTACATAGGAAATAGGGTCCCATTTGGAACACAGTAAGTGTCTGTTTTAACTGATATTAAGCTTTTGCCTGTGGTCCTTTCTTCCTCTGAGTCCGTCTTATATCCAGAGTTGGACAGTCCAAACTTGGTCCAACCCTAAATTAACCGTTATAACTGTCACTTAGAGCGAGTTTAGGGCTCATACTTCCTCTTATCGAAGCTTGATTGTCTTTCTCGTGGGGTGTATGTGTGTGGGTGCATGTGTTAACGCATCGCAGAGGACGGTCTTGTGGTTTCCTGTATCTGTGTGGTTTCAGACTGGCAATGAGCCTCACTGGAGAGGAAGAGGGGGAGATGGACAGAGAGTGGAGAGAGGGAGGGGGAGAGAGATGGAAAGAGAGAGAGAGAAAGAGAGAGAGAGACAGACAGAAATAAGAGCGAGAGAGAGATGAATAGAGTTGTTATTGAGGTGTGTTTGATGGGGTGTGGTTGGAGGAAGACCTCCAGACCGGATAGAGGGATAGGACATGAGATGGATCAGATGTCTTTCTCCATTGGTTCCTCTCCTCCCACGAGCATAATGGGACATCTATCTGTCTGTCCCTCTGTTGTCCGTCATGTCTGTCTGTGTCCTTCCTCTAAACAAGGAAGAGGCTTCTCTCCTACAGTCACATTTACCCTCTGACCTCTAACCTCTCCCTGAGGGGTCAAGAGAGGAAGGGAGGTATAAGGAGGGGGAGGGATGTTTTGGTGCGGACGTTTGGGGCGGATGCCACAGGAAGTAGTCCTTGCTCATGTCCTGCCCTCCTGCGGAGACTTCCTGTTACTGTTACAGAATGCCTAATCCTGTCCGACCTTGCCCTGTCATGTCCCTCAAGCATTTCTGTCCACTCTTCTGTGCCCCCAGGGTGGTAGTGTGTGTGGGCGGTGTGGGAAGGGGAGTGGGTGTGTGTGGGTGTATGCTTGGTTGTGTGTGTGTGTGTGTGTGTGTGTGTGTGTGTGTGTTCGTGCGTGCGTGCGTGTTTGTGTCTGCCCTTCCGAACCCCTACCAGCCCTCACCTTTTGCCCCACAAACACAGACAGACAGCTGGGTGGGTGTCATTGGATCTGTGTTTAGGCTGTCTGTGCTTAGCTGGGGCTCTGTGTGTGTGTGCAGCGAAGCGAGACTCACACTGCAGGCTTTGGATGTGTGTGTGGTAGAGAGAGAGAGCGAGCGAGCGAGAGAAAGAGAGAGAAAACTGAAGATAGCATGTAGCTGAAACATTTACTCTAACTTGCTCGCACACTTTTTCACTTTTGTAAAAAATAATGTCCCAAGATTATTGTTTGCAATGTGAGGACAGCATCCCCTCTTTTGACATGCACATCTCCTAGCTCCATGCACCTGCAGCACACTGATTTAATTTACATTTACATGTTGGTCATTTAGCAGGTGCTCTAATGCGGAGCGATTTATGGTCAAGAAATCGAACGCAGCAATCATCTCCTTTCGCTGTGTCACTCACTCATCCACTCATCCCCATCACGCCGGCTGATGCATAGGGCAGCAACAAAGGCTCTCCACTTTTATCGGTCTTTGGCCATCTTCAACATTGTGCCCTACCACTGCTGATGTGTGTGGTATAAAATGTGTGTGGTATCTTTTGATTGGTATAAAAGTCTAACCATATCCCCCTCTCTGTGTGTTCTACAGACGTTCCATGCTAACACAGACCCGTCTGAGGTGGTGTTGAACCGCGTGCCCCAGCCCGTCCTAGCCCGCTTCGTACGCATCCGGCCCCAGACCTGGAAGAACGGCATCGCCCTGCGCTTCGAACTCTACGGCTGCCAGATCATAGGTGTGTGTGTGTGTGCGTGTGCACATATTTGCGTGTTAGAGAGCGAGCCATGGGAAAAGAGATGTTTAAGTTATTTTGCCTTAGATACCTGAGCCATCCTTTACATTACACCTCTGTCACACTGCACATCAAAAAATGTTGAGAGCCACAAATGTGTTCCGGCATCTCCTGCCCTGTCAGTGAAGAAGCTTAGAAAATCCCCTTAGAAGAAATGGCAGCCGGTCTATGCATTAACTACGCAGTAACATGAGCACGCACACATAAGAACTCCCGACAGCAACCGGATCATTAGTCTAATCAAAGTTTTACTCCATTCTCAGCCAGCCAGCGCGTCTCCAATCACTCCCTCTTCCCTATTCATATTTTCTCTCTATCTTTCCACTCTATGTTCCTGCTCTCCTTCCTCTTCTCTTTCTCCTCTCTCTCTCTCCCTCGTGATCATTCTTTTCTCTCACTTTCATTCTCCCTGTCATTCCATACTCTGTCCTTGTTTTTCCCTCTCCTCTTTCTCCCTCGCTCTCTCCCTCTCCACCTACTCCAATTCTCTCTATCAACCTCCTTTCTTTACCTCTGAATAATTCTCTGTCTCCTCTCTGTCTCTCCCGTTTTCCCTCTTCCTCTCCTGCCCTTTCCACTGTCAGGATGTCAACCTACTTTCTCTCAACCCCTACAATCTCGCAGATGCAGTATGTCACAAGAAAGGGTCACAATCAATCATTCATGACACTCTTGTTCAGTTGTACATCTTGAACTGTGATTCACAGAGAGGGAGAGAGGGAGAGAGAGAGTGTCACTCATTAGCTAGTATTGCAAGTGTATGTTAGACTGGCCTCTCACACACATACTCACTTGAAGACACACACAATGGCCTCACGTCGATTCACATACACACATACATTTCTGTTGCCATTTATCCATAATTTACATTCATTGCTAGTGCTGTGACATAACAGCATGAAACTTTGATCTGTGTACTCTTAAACCGTCAACCCTACTAATGCTCTCCTCTCTTCTCCTCCTCCTCCTCTCTCTCTTTCTCATCTCTCGGTCTCACTCCCTCTGTCTTGTCTTGTCTCTGGTCTTCTCTCCGCTGTTTCTCCCTCGGTCTCTTCTCCTCTACCTACCTCTTTCTCTCTCTCTTTCCCTCTCTCTTTCTGCCCTTTCTCTCCTAGTTCCATCTCTCTCTCCTCCTCCTCCTCCTCCCTCCTCCTCCTCCGTCGTCTCCCTCCTCTCTCATTGTTTATTTTACAGTTAATATGTGAGGGTTGAAATGTGATAGTTTTGTGTAATGTATGATATTGACCCAATAAGAGGATTTTTTTTTTAATGTCACTTCCCACTCCCCCTCCCTTCCCCACTCTTCCCCGTCCCTCTCCCTCATCCTCTTCTTCCCCACCTCAAGATGCTCCGTGTTCAGAGATGCAGGGCCTCCTCTCCGGCCAGCTCCCCGACACCCAGATCTCGGCCTCGTCGGCTCGGGACATGCTGTGGTCCCCTGGGAATGCCCGCCTAGTGGCCAGCCGGTCAGGCTGGTTCCCCGGACCCGCTCAGCCCCTGGCCGGGGAGGAGTGGCTCCAAGTGGACCTGGGTGTCCCCAAGACGGTCCGGGGGATCATTACCCAGGGGGCGAGGGGCGGAGAGGGGACAAGCAGCACGGACAACAGGGCCTTTGTGAGGAAGTACCGCGTGGCACACAGTTTAGATGGGAAGGACTGGGGGTTCGTCATGGACAGCAAGACCAGCCTGCCCAAGGTGGGTGGGGGTGATGTGGGGGTTGTGTGTGCGTGTGTGTCAGTGTAAAGTGTGATTATACTCATTTAAATCATCTATATAAAGATTTTTGCCACAGTACCATTCAATATTTATGCTTTATTTCTGTATGTGTTGCAGATATTTGAAGGGAACACCCACTACGACACCCCTGAGCTACGGCGTTTTGAGGAGACCCTGGCCCAGTTCATCAGGATCTATCCAGAGAGGTGGTCTCCTGCCGGGATCGGGATGAGAGTGGAAATACTGGGCTGTGACGTGCCAGGTAAGACTTGAGCCCGTGGTCTAGCAAGAACACTCCTGGCTTCAAACTTTCAATCTGTTACTCCTCTCTGTCATTTCATAACTGTCAAAATGCCCTACAAATATATTATTTTTTAAGTGCGTGCACGTATTATATATCATCTGTGAGTCTACTGGATACACAATTTGGGAGTTGGAAAGCAAGTGGAAGTGGAAAAGTGAGGGGGGACTTTGAGAGAGTGAAGGTTAAAGTTACAGGGAGTGGAGAAAGGGTTGGACGGGTTTTGAGGAATCTGTCCCAAGGGTACCATGCACACACACACTGCTGGTATGGTCTGCTATCCAGATGTGAGGCAGTAGACACATCTGGTCTCTCACTGCTCACTACTCCCACTGGGCCTATGCAGGAGCTACAGCAACAGACAGCTCAACACCTACACACACACACACACACACACACGTACACTCACACACACACACACACACACCTCAACTCCCCTGAGCTGGTTCTAGGCTCCACTCTCTGTTCCCACCCTGACTAGGATGTTCGTCACACACACACACACACACACACACACACACACAACACTTCAGCTCCACCTGTCACATAAACACACACACACCCTCACTGCAAGCATACAGTACACACACACACACACACTCACACACACACACAACTCCCTTGAGCTGGTTCTAGGCTCCGCTCTCTGTTCAACACATACACATAAACACATAAACAGACACAGACAGACAGATACTATAATGGCTCCTAATGGGCCTACACAGGATGTGTGTGTGTGTGTGTGTGTGCGCGTGTGTTTGTGTGTAAGGTACACAGCCCTGTTCGGTGGTGTAAGGATGATGTGGACCTCTTAATGTTTCATCCCACTCTTCTCTGACTCACTCACTACGCCATTAGAGAGGAGAAACAAGGCCAGAACCCTCCATTAACACAGAACAATAGGACACACACACACACGCTCTCTCTCTCTGTCAGTATAACAGGCTAGCGCCCTTTGTTAGGGACCCTCAGTACCACACCCATGATTGGCCTACATGAATGACTGACAAGAGAGCTGCACTCCTCCCCTCCCTACATCTCTCTCTCTCTCTCCTTGCTGTCCTCTGTCACTCCCTCCTCACCCCATCTCTTCCTGCTCCTGCCCCCAGTGGGGGCTACACATAGGCCCTGGGATTCAAACCGGCAACCGTTCACCTTGAGGCTACAGCCACAGCCGTCCCCGATGTTAACCCTGCCACATGGAAAAGGCATTGAGACCAGGTGAAAGCCCTGTGTTAATGCAATCTGTCACAGGCTTCTCTTTATTGGACATGGATGAGATCCCAGAGAGATGGAGTAGTTTAACACAACACTGGTGTTCAACAGAGCATTTGGTTCAGAAGTGTTCACAGTGCATGAGTGGGAGGGTTGGAGTGCTGTGCCTCATAACAGGAGGGAGGATTGTAAATCTTTTGTCACCCCTCCTTTTGTCACCCCTCCTTTTTGCTCCCACCACCTCTCTTTCTCATTCTCGTTCTTATTCTATCTCTTTCTCTACCTTTCTCTGTATCAGTCTCTCTCTACCTCTCTCTGTCTCTCACTCGCTCTCCCTCTATCCTCTGTCTTTCTCTCTCTTTCTGTCCTCTCTCTGTATCTGTCTCTCTCTACCTCTCTCTGTCTCTCACTCGCTCTCGCTCTATCCTCTGTCTTTCTCTCTCTTTCTGTCCTCTCTCTGTATCTGTCTCTCTCTACCTCTCTCTGTCTCTCACTCGCTCTCCCTCTATCCTCTGTCTTTCTCTCTCTTTCTCCTTCCTTTCTCTCTCTATTGCTCTCTCACTGTTAAATCCCACACATGGCTCTGTTCTCTTCTCTCCTCTCTCTGTTCCCACCCTTAGGCATAGTGCGTGGGTCTGTACATTTATTTTTTCTTCATTCTTTCTCCACTCCTCTGTTTCTCATCACACATTCCCCCTCTCTGTTCTCTGCTGTCCATTCCAGGCTCTTTGGTCTAATTTCTTACACACACACCTCACACACACTTATGCACACACACATGCACACACATTGAACATAAAACTCTGCCTGGATATCTCTTCTGTCTTCCTTCAAGATCAACTTTGGAGGTTTCTCTTAGGCTTTGTTTTACAGTCTTCAAGGACATATTGGGCTCTATTTTAACCTTTTACTGCAGTGGGCTAAATCAGGGTCACACAGAGTGTTTCTCTGTAGTCTTAAACAAATCTACTTTGAAACAAAAGTATACACCTCACCACTGTAAAAGAAGACACCATGTCAGATATAGAGTTGAAATGTATTCAATTTACACTTTATACAGTGCCTTCGGAAAGTATTCAGACCCCTTTACTTTTTCCACATCTTGTTAAGTTTCAGTCTTATTCTAAAATGGATTACATTTTTTAAAATCCTCAGCAATTTACACACAATACCCCATAATGTCAAAGCGAAAACAGGTTTTTAGAAATGTTTACGCATTTATAAAAAAATAAAAACAGAAATATCTTATTTACATAAGTATTCAGACCCTTTTCTATGAGACTCGAAAGGGAGCTCAGGTGCATCCTGTTTCCATTGATCATCCTTGAGATGTTTCTACAACTTGATTGGAGTCCAGCTGTGGTAAATTCAATTGATTGGACATGATTTGGAAAGGCACACACTTGTCTATATAAGGTCCCACAGTTGACAGTACATGTCAGAGCAAAAACCAAGCCATGAGGTTGAAGGAATTGTCCGTAGAGCTCCAAGACAGGATTGTGTCGAGGCACAGATCTGGGGAAGGGTACCAAAGCATTTTTGCAGCATTGAAGGTCCCCAAGAACACAGTGGCCTCCATCATTCTTAAATGGAAGAAGTTTGGAACCACCAAGACTCTTCCTAGAGCTGGCCGCCAGCCAACTGAGCTCCTTGTAGGTGAGTCGATGGTCATGACAGCTCTAAGTTGTCTGTGAATTGAAACCTTCGAAGGCACCTCTCGCACACTCACAATCAGGCCTTTTGAGTGGCCAGACGGAAGCCACTCCTCAGTAAAAGACACATGACAGCCCACTTGGAGTTTGCCAAAAGGCACCTAAAGACTCTCAGACCATGAGAAACAAGATTCTCTAGTCTGATGAAACCAAGATTGAACTCTTTGGCCTGAATGCCAAGCGCCACGTCTGGAGGAAACCTGGCACCATCCCTACTGTGAAGCATGGTGGTGGCAGCTTCATGCTGTGGGGATGTTTTTCAGCGGCAGGGACTGGGAGACTAGTCAGGATCGAGGCAAAGATGAACGGAGCAAAGTACAGAGAGATCCTTGATGAAAACCTGCTCCAGAGTGCTCAGGACCTCAGACTGGGGCAAAAGTTCACCTTCCAACAGGACAACGACCCTAATCACACAGCCAAGACAATGCAGGAGTGGCTTCAGGACAAGTCACTGAATGTCCTTGAGTGGGCCGGCCAGAGCCCGGACTTGAACCCGATCAAACATCTCTGGAGAAACCTGAAAATAGCTGTGCAGCAACGCTCCCCATCCAACCTGACAGAGCTTGAGCGTCATACCCAAGAAGACTCGAGGCTGTAATCGCTGCCAAAGATGCTGCAACAAAGTACTGAGTAAAGGGTCTGAATACTTATATAAATGTTATATTTCTGTTTTTTAATTGTAATAAATGTACAACAATTTCTAAAAACCTGTTTTTGCTTTGTCATTATGGGGTGTTGTGTGTAGATTGATGAGGGAAAAACAAACATGTTTTACATTTTAAAATAAGGCTGTAACGTAACAAAGTGGAAAAATTCAAGGGGTCTGAATACTTTCCGAATGCACTGTATACATCACAGAAGACAAAAAATATGTATAACACAACTGTTTGACATAGAAACACCGGATTTTCACCGGATTTTTTAAAGATAATGTTGATTAATTATGAAATTATGAAAAATATTAGTAACATTATATGTTTTGATTCAAAAAGAAATTATAGGTGTGACTAGGGCTTGGCCACTCATTGGCCTATCAACACATTTCTTGTTGATGGCCTTTGCATTGTCATCAACTCCAATTAGGCTGGGGGCATGGAATATTCTCTTCCTAGCACATTGTGGATTGATACAGGTTATTAAATAGCATAGGCTACAGTAATGAGTAATAGCAACAGTAAAAATAAACATCTAGTGTTTGCTCAATATTTTTGGAGTGTTGACAGTCAACATTGTTGTAATTGGCTTCAATGAGTATAGTAGGCCTTTACGCATCGCACTTCTCAAATAACAAATACTAGGCTCCCGTGAATTGTATTGTATGTGTGAGGCACGTTCTCAATAAGCAATATATAGCCTAGGCCTACCGTTGATATGGCATTATAGGACTGAATAATTTGAATATGTTTGGAGGAGTACATAATAATAATATGCCATTTAGCAGACGCTTTTATCCAAAGCGACTTACAGTCATGTGTGCATACATTTTTACGTATGGGTGGTCCGGGGGATCGAACCCACTACCATGGCGTTACAAGCGCCATGCTCTACCAATTGAGCTACAGAGGACCACCCATACGTGGCATCTTTGGTAACTGGACAAGATGTGCTCTTTGGAAATGGGGATGTATACAAGCCGAATGGAGTAGCCTATGCACCGCAGGTAGGTCTATGTGAATTGTGAATAATGCGAATTCATGACGAGTAAAGCCTCACGATTGGACCATTTAGACACATTTTATGGATAGGCTACTTGGCTAATGCATGGCCATGATAAGAAAGACACCAGACACATTGCTGTTGAACCAGCTTTCGTTATAGTAGAGTAAGGGTAGCCTATAAGGGCTTGTCTTTTAATCAAACGAAACAGAAAACAAGCAATTGTTACATGAACATTACAAACACTTAAATGTTTCTAAATACGAGTGTCACCATGTTATCTCATCTCTCTTTCCATGATGGGCATATAGCCTACATGGAGGGGTTTTTATGCACATCCAAAATAATAACAGGAGCTGGCTAAAATGTAAAGTGATGCCTACTGTAGATTAAAAGGGGATGTCCGCTCACTGTTTTGCGGCTCCCAAACTTGATATTTTAATAAAGCTTTGGTGATGAAGATTTATTTCAAAGTGAGCGAATGCATTGAGCAGGACAAAAAAAAACAGCCTTCATTGAGAGGAGGGGAGGCTATGCTTGGTTTTTAATAAAATGAAACGAAATGGTTTATGGGCACAAAAAGTACATCTCTCTTGTTCCATGTGCATATGGGCACTGTGCGTCATGGCTGGATAGGCTGCACTTCTGCTGTCAAGATCCATGCCAAAGAACAGCTTTTGGTTTGTCTTAAATATCCCCACCAGCGCTGCCTGAAATTGGCACTTTGGCGCACACCTCAAATATTGCCACCCCTCCCACCTCAGCACAAGCGAGCTCATATAAGACAGGTAAATTACCAATCCTGGCGCTAGGGTTTGAAAATAGAAGAGCGCCGGCTTTAACAGGTCGAAATTGCAAACGAGCATGTTTGACAATTGCACTGGCTTAATGCCTGCTGGAAATAGAGCCCATTGTCCTATTCCTTTTGATAATGATAATCCAGATAGAGAGAGAGAGAGTGTGTTTGTGTTGTGTGCATGTGCGTGTGCATGTGGGGATGATGCTAAGGCTTTGCTGTGTGTGTTTGTGTATCTGCACTCTTGTATGCGCCAGCGTTTTCTCCCTTACAATGTGACTCGGGTGTCACAGGGGGTGGTGACCTCACTCTTATACCACTTAACCCTACATGTCCGGCAGGGGGGGAAAACATAATTTTTTCCCAGCATGCACTCTGTCATCTGTAGGAGTTGTGTGAGTGCGTGGGAGTGTGTGGGTGGGAGTGCGTGCGTTTGTGCGTTTTACATATTTTGCTGAGTCAGATTCTTCGGAGAGAACGATGGCAGTTTTCCAGAAGAGAAGGAGCGGCGTGGGGGGATTGAGAATGGTGAGAAGGGGTGAGGGGGTTGAGCGCTGTTCAGTGTATTCTCTGTAACATAACAGTTCCCCTGGTGCCATTTGTATCAAGCGTCTCAGAGTAGGATTGCTGATTTAGGATCGGTTTTGCGTTTTAAATCACAATAAATGACATAACATAGATTGAGTGCTGAGTAGATCCTAGAACAGCCTTCCTACTATAAGACACTTAATACATATGGGCCCTGTACTCCTTTCCGGTCTGAAGTGCAGTGCTTTGAAGGGGCTGTTCCTGCATGAGGGTCCCTCTCCCTGCATGAGGAGGCCTTCTGCTGCATGAGGGGACCCTCTACCTGAATAAGGAGGCCTTCTCCTGCATGAGGGGATCCTCTCCCTGCACGGTTAGGCCTTCTCCTGCTTGAGTCGGACTTCTGCTGCATGTGGAGGCCCTCCTGCACGAGGTGGCCTTCTGCACAAGGAGACAGGCACAGTGATACTGTATAAGGGAGGCCTCTCGGTGCAGCTCTGTAGCTGTTTCCTCACACATGTCAAGGAGTGGAGAGCCCTCGGGGAGAGGCAGGCGGGTCATAGCTCCTCGTCACTCTTCCGTTACCCCTGACACCTCTATCACACACGCACACACTCATACACACACAGAGACACGCACACACAGACACACACACACCCCTGTCACACCCTACAAAGGTCAAGCCGTTTACACTGTGACAAGGCCTGACCTTTGAAGCACAGAGATGCAATGGCTTGGAGGAATGGCTTGCGCTAAGGGAGATAAAATAATAGGATACATGGAGAGAACAGAGGGAGAGGGAAAAAGGGGATAGCAGAACGAGGGAGGCTCTCGGATGTGAAAAAGGTTAGGGAGGAGTAGGGGGTTAACGTATTGCCGGTGGGGTCCCCGTAGCTCCTTGGTGATTAAAATCTGATTAGCCAACTAATTGCCTCAGTAAAGGGTGTGACATTAACGTTAGGCTAATGTCACTCAGTCAGAGACCTCAACAGCTGGGCACTATCCTTTCATGTAGCGGTATTTAGTTGTGTTTCTCCACAGCTCCAGACGTCCGGCTGCGTTCGTTTAATTCATTTCATCCGTTTCATTTGTTTCCTCACAGGAAGTTGTGTCACGGTAAAATGTCGACGGATCAATCGACTATGGTGTCCATGACTATGGTGTGGACAGCCTCAGTCTCAGCAGGACTCGTTTCATTCTCAGCAGGACTTGTTTCAATCTGTCCTAATATGGACAACGTAATCAACTTCCCTCCATGTTTGTTGTCGTCGGTGTTTCTCAAACGCTGCTAAACGCTAATAGTGCTAGCCATGCCCAGGAAGCATCATTACACTGATGTAGCTATTAGCTAGCAGGCTAGCAGCTATGTCTTTGGACTGCAGATGCATCCAGATTCTGCAATAGCAGTCTTGCTTTCCAGATGTTTGCGTGTGAGTTTGGTGTCTCTCTCTAGTCATTGCACTCTCCTAAATGACGTCTCTCCTAAATTACATCTTGGGGAAAGAAATGTTTTGCCATCTTGGATACACATTTTTACATAGAAATCACCTCACTTCAATTGCACTTATGAGGGATCAGAAAGCACAAGTTGAATGTACGGTATACTCTGCAGTGGTTCCCAAACCTTTGGAACAGAGCCTGGAACAGAGTTTTCACAAATTCCCATGATGTGATAAATTGGGCCATTGGTGTATGATAATATGATTAGGACCTTGGTTAGATTGTGGTTAGAAAGCAGAGATGACCCAAACCTTTCCCTCTGTCATTGCATAACAAAACCAGAGTTGTCCCATCTGGTCCCAATAACATGCCCACTTATCCCGATAACATTCCTAATGCAGTCTGTAGACCATGTGCCGCTGGAAGGAGTGTGTGTGTGTGTGTGTGTGCATGCGTGTGTGTACTCGCATGCATCCATGTGTGTGTGTCCGTGCATGCTCGTGTGTGTGATCATCCATTCCAAGGTGAACTAGCTAGGCTCATCCATCACCCATGGAGCCAGAGGTGTCTGGCCTGTCCTACCAGGGCCCCAGCCGCTGGTCTGACTGGGCTGTGGATGGAGGTGGAGACAGTGGAGACGGTCGAGACTCATGGAGGCAGGGAGATGTCTGGGCTAAAAGACCCATGGAGGGAGGGAGATGTCTGGGCTAGGAGACACAACATGACTGGGCTATCACCGCCTGGCTTAGCCTGTCACGTCTACTGGGAGGGGGAGGGAGGGAGGGAGGGAGGGAAGGAGGGAGGGAGGGAGGACGGGAGGGAGGGAGGGAGGGAGGGAGGACGGGAGGGAGGGAGGGAGGACAGGAGGGAGGGAGGGAGGGAGGGAGGGAGGGAGGGAGGGAGGGAGGGAGGGAGGGAGGGAGGGAGAAATTGTATTCATGGGCAAACTGTTGATTAGTCAGAAAGCTGTGGTCACATTCACAGAGCGGTGTTGTTTAATTGAGTATGCTTCATTGAGTATGTTTCATTGAGTATGTTTCTTTGAGTATGTTTCATTGAGTGTGAGTGTGTGTCTTGTATGAATTTGAGTAGAACTTTGTATGTTACATTTTGAGCATCTTGGATGTAACTGGCAACACTTATCTTGTCTCCATAGAAACCAGCACACTGGCCGACACAGCCACGCCCACTTTGTCTGGTCCAATGGAGAGTAGCACCGCCCAGCGGTCGGGCAGAGGTGAGTGTCTGTAAGCCTGTTGTGTGGAAATGTTGCATATAGATAAGTTATGTTTGTATGTATGTTATTGTAGAATGTTTAATGGTTGATGTCTCTCTATCTCTCTCTCTCTTCTCTCTGTCTTTCTCCGTCCCTCTCCCACCCTTTCTCTCCAGGAGCTAGCTCCTCCCCTCCGTCCATGGGTGGTGTGTGTGACTTTGAGCAGGGTCTGTGTGGCTGGACTCACGACCCCAGCGCCCCGCTCCATTGGTCCCTCCACAGCAGCTCCAAAGCCCCAGCCCAGGGCCCCAGCCTGGACCTCGCTCTGCCCCCCACCGGTGAGTCTCCTTGAGCATAGCACAGCTAGCTTCCCCCCCTAAGTCAGGGTTGGCAAAGGTGGTTCACCACAACCATCTTCAGAAGGCAAGAAAGAGGTTAGATAGCCACTTGGGCTAATTTAGCTTGATATACAGTAAAGTCCTTGTTTGGTGTTTGTAAACATGTGGGTGTACAAAAACTCTGTTTGAGCCCCAGCCGAGGCTGATTTTGTGACTTATAAACACACAACCACACAGACATACAAACACGCACACACACACACTTATAATGTGTAACTCATCCACTCTGCTCTATGTGACTGCGCTATAACTCTGTGATGCTAACGGGGCGTTCCGGGAGCGTTCTGGGCAGGAAAAAGTTAAGACCCAGTAGCACTTATTAACTACAGAGACAAGAGGAAAAACCAGGAAAACCATATTCCCAGCCGCGCCTTCCTGCCCCTCGATTACCTTGCAGGCAAATCTCTGGCTCCCTAAGTAGACTTCCATGTACTTAGAGCAATTATTAAGTTCCCTTTATACATACACCCGGATCAAAAAAGAGTGAAGCTTTTGGCATATTAATTAAAGATATGAGCAGTTTGGAGTTTTTCTTTGATGTTTTCTTACACTGACTGCGCAATGAATGGCATCCTATTCCCTATATAGTGCACTACTTTTGACCAGGTCCCTATGAGCCGGTCCTATGGGCCTTGGTCAAAAGTAGTGCACTATTATAGGGAATAGGGGGCCATTTTGGACTCAGCCACTGAGGGTTAAAGGGATTGTTATCCTGACCTTGTTTTAAAATTCATTGGTTTTGATATATTTCAAATGGGGCCCATGAAAGATTTAACAAGCTGCAGCTGTGAAGAGTGAAAAGGGGAGTTTCAGGACCATTCTGCTTGCGCTCAAGGGCGTTCGGAATCTCTGATGTCACCTGGGCTTTAGATCAGGGAATCTCTGGGATGTAGGTTGAGGATCGTAGCCAAAACATCCAATCGGATCGCTCTGTTAATGGTTAGCCTAAGACTCTCTCTCTCTCTCTCTCTCTCTTGCTCTCTCGCTCTCATTTTCCATTTCTGTCGCTCTCACTCTCCCTCTCTCTCTCTCTCCCTGTCTAACTTTCCTTTCTCTCTCTCTCTCATGACCCAGAAAACCCAGACCCAGTAACCTCTTGATCTCTTCCTCTAAAATGTAAAAACATAACAGCTGGAGAACTAGCGCCATAGCATATCAACGTGTGGTGCTGGCGGCGTCGATAACGAGGCCTGTGTTTGTAGATTGAGTTCTCGTTGTCTTCGCTCGCTGCAGGAGACTGCTGAGAAAATTGATTAATAATGCTGTTGCATCATATCACGCGAACGCGCCCCTCTCGATTATGAGCTGTCTGCTGAACAAGCTGTGGAACAATGGGGGGAGCTTTCAGAGACGCTGGGTTCACCCGAGGTGTAGGGAGAGGGGGGATTCTGCAAACACATTAAGATCAGTTTGATAAAGTGGGGATGTTTTCTGTGTGGTGAAGACCCACACATACACACACACACAGTCACACACACACTTGCATTCACACACTCGCGCACACACACACACACACTCACACACAGATAGACACACAGAGATAGACAGTGCCGTATGGTGCTTCATGGGAGGGCTCCTTACAAACACACACACTCTGTGGTGTTTGGAAGGGCCAAGGGAGACCCTGTCACACACACTGTCTGATGTGACACACACACTAGAGAGCAGAGGGGGGGGATGCCATCTTGGAGGAAGCCTTCTTCCCCTCCATAGTTACGACTGTGTGATCTGCTAGACAGACTATTAGAGTGGCTACAGACATACTGCACAGTATGATACACACTTGAATGTACTTAAGCTTTCTCTCCCTCTCACATACAATAACAATTTCAGTGGTCTCCCAGATCCAAGTTAGGTGCAAATTCTAGAGTGTACATTTCCTAGACAAAGTGTCAAATTGATTACAAGTGAGTTATCTGCATTTACATTGTGGATGCTGATTGCTGTCCTTATACAGGTAGTCTAAACCTTTAATATAATCGAATAAACTATTTAGTTCCCTCCACGACAGCACATTATTTTTACGATGTACATGTAGCTACAGTAACTATAACATAGACACAAAAGAACCATGCTGAATTCAGTTTGCAATTTATTTGTCTATAAAAAATAGTCAAGCTTGTGGTTCCACAGCTTATGCTGTGATCCACACATTGAATGTTCTGTGTTGGACTGAGTCTTTTGGCAGTGACACTGACCCTCCATTTTAGGTTAAAACTACCCTTAGAGTCCCTCACATTTACATCCTCCTTCTCTTGTGGTCAGAGTCCTGGTCAGAGTCCTGGTGAGTGCTGCTGCTCCTCTTATCACCACCATCTCTCTTAGTGAAGGCTGCTGATTGGTTGTTGGAGACTGCTGTCTGGCTCGTAGCTGTCTGACTAGTGGATGATTGTTTAGTGGCTGTCTGGCTCGATGGCCAAAATGCAGCGGCATTCTGCTGGCTAGATGACCAAAATGTAGCGGCTGCTGATTGGCTGGGCCAGACTGTCGTGTTGGTAGTGGTTGCTGATTGGCTGGGCCAGACTATTGTCTTGGTAGTGGCTGCTGATTGGTTGGGCCAGACTGTTGTCTTGGTAGTTGCTGCTGATTGGTTGTGCCAGACTGTTCCCTGGCCTTTAGCTGATGATTGGCTGGGCCAGAATGTTGCCTGCCAAGTGGCTACTGATTGGCTGTTGTCTTTCACCTCCACAACAACATCGACATCCATTGGCTCCACATCCTGATGACAAGGCACTTGATTGCTGTTGTTGATCTGTTGATCAACATCGACATCCATTGGCTCCACATCCTGATGACAAGGCACTTGATTGCTGTTGTTGATCTGTTGATCAACATCGACATCCATTGGCTCCACATCCTGATGACAAGGCACTTGATTGCTGTTGTTGATCTGGGGCCCCTCTTTCCAGTCCATAAAATTGTCCTGGTCTTGTCCATAGCTGGAGTTTGACTGGAAGGTGGCAGGGGCTGAGTTGGGCTGGAACTGGCAAGCAGAGGGGGTACTCAAAAATCTACTTTGCCATAATCAATAAATCACATTGTACTTATAAAGCCCTTTTTACATCAGCATTTGTCACAAAGTGTTTTAGAGTAACCCACCCTAGACCCAGGGCTCTGGTCAAAACTATTTCACTAGCTATATAGGGAACAAGTTGCCATTTCAGGCTACTCACTATAATCTAGGCCAAACAAACCTGGTTCAGGATCTGGTAGGGAGCCACTCCAGGCACGGGAGATCCTCCAGTCATCTGTGTGATCAGCCATGAGGCAAGAACGTCCTTAGGAACCATCGTCAACAATGAGAAGGGATGGAGGGGCCCAAACTGGCTCAGATATTGGAGATAGCTCATTATTGCAAGAACTTGGTATAATTATTAAATCAAAGATAGTTCAGAGCAGAAAGCAATGTGATAGGCAATGCTTTCAAGTGTCTAAATGATATGGTTGAACTCTAGAACGTTGCTTCACAGGTGTTCTGTTGACATCACAGCTGCATCACAATCGAGGTCAATGACTATGACATCGTGCACTGTACTCAAGTTCATAGAATTCTGTTTCTATGGCTTCAACTAAAAAGCAATGAAGGCCCATTCCTTAATAAAAAGTAGTTTTCTATTAAAAAAAATTAAATACATGTTTTCTATGAAGCTGAGGGATGGAGCTGGAGAAATGTAATAACCGAACAATTCGTAGATGGAGCTATAGATGCAAGGACTGAAAGTCCATGGGGTCAAAATGATAGTTTTAATCATATTTTGAAGATAGACATTGTTTACTCAGACATTGTTTACAATTTACACCTGATGTCTGGGTACAGGGGACATATCATATACTATTTATATTTGACATATATTACATAATTCCATGTCAGGTTGTAATATATAACGGTTTATTCATGAACATTCAGTTGGAATATGGTGATGCTAATATCCATAACTTCATTGTACCTAGTGCCTCTTGGACAATATTCACACACACACACACACACACACACACACACACACACACACACACACACACACACACAATGATTTTTATCTGTAGTTCTCTGACCTAACTGCTCTAACACACACTGCGATAAAGCACAGGTGATCTTGTCAGGAATGTGTTGATACTGGACCATCGGCCACTTAACTCTTAGAAGAATTCACTCTACACACACACACACACACACTCCCTGTCAGGTTCAATCCCACAAAGGATTCCAAGTCCACATCCAATTTACTAACTAAACATCCTTTCTGTAAACAACTGTCTGTGTTTAACACAATGCTATTGTGTAAGTGTTCTACCTGAATACCAATGGGAATGGCTCCCTTGGGTTGGCTGTGAATTCATGACCTTCCCTTAGTGCTTGACTCTCTCACTGACCCTATTCTTCTGTTAGGCGTGTTTTGGTATGTATCATATCCCTGTGCTATTGTAGGTCTGACCATGTAGTTGTGGTATTATTATTGTGTGTGAGTGTGTGTGCAGATGCGCTGATGTGCGTACGTGTGTGTGTACACTCCCTCGTGTGTGTGTGCACGTGTGCCTATGTGTATGTATTGCCCATACGTGTGTACACGTACTGTGTTCCCCTCACTGCAACATCTCAAGTCTCTAAACCCACCACTGCATTGTCCCCCCCCCATCCCCCCACACAGACCTGAACAGCTACCTGTACATCGAGGCCAACACCAAGACGGAGCAGCAGCGAGCCAGGATCCTAAGCCCCGTGGTGGGGCCCGACACGGGGCCTCTCTGCCTGCTCTTCTCCTACCAGCTGTGGGGAGAGGCCCAGGGCACCCTGCACGTCCTGCTCCGCGATGCCCACCACGAGGAGACCCTTCTCTGGGCACTCCGCGGCGACCAGGGCCCCGTCTGGAAGGAGGGCCGCACCATCCTGCCCCGATCCCCCAAGGAGTTCCAGGTATTCGAGCGTTGGCATACTCCCTTCTCCCTTCCAAAAAAAGAGTCTGTGAAGAGTTAGCTGGAGAAACAAGTAGAAGTAGTATATTAGTAGTGGTTATGTGTTGCAGTGGTCCATACTCATGGTTATCGATTCTATGTATAAGATATATCCCTGCATCCACATGTAGTTAATTTGCTTCTTCCTCCTCCTTCCCCTACTCTTCCTCCTCCTCCTCCTCCTTCCCCTACTCTTCCTCCTCCTCCTCCTCTCTTCCTTCCTCCTCCTCCTCCTCTTCCTCCTCCTCCTTCCCCTACTCTTCCTCCTCCTCCTTCTCCTCCTCTTCCTCCTCCTCCTTCCCCTACTCTTCCTCCCTCCTCCTTCCTCCTCCTCCTCCTCCTCTTCCTTCCTCCTTCCCCTACTCTTCCTCCTCCTCCTTCCCTACTCTTCCTCCTCCTCCTCCTTCCCCTACTCTTCCTTCCTCCTCCTCCTTCCCCTCCTCTTCCTCCTCCTCCTCCCCTCCTCCTCCTCCTCCTCCTCCTCCTCCTTCCCCTACTCTTCCTCCTCCTCTCAGGTGGTTATGGAAGGCTTCTTTGACCGCGGAACCAAGGGCCAAATCATGATCGACAACATCCACATGAGTTCTGGTACACCTTTGGAGGAGTGCACACGTAAGTCTGCAGATCATACACACACTCACTCACACACATACAAACATGTGTACACACACACATACATGTGTACACACACACCTGACCCTCCAGCACCCCGGTTATTTTCCTCCATCATCCCACCACCACACCACTCAACTTCTGTTCCCCCCTCCATCTCTCTCTCTCTCTCCATCATCCCTTCATTCCTTCTCTACCTCCGTCTCCTCCTCCTCTCCTCCCCTGGAGTCCCCGACCTGTCACTCCAGTTGTGCTCTAAACACCCCACACACACACAAACACAAACACACACCCCAAGTTCCCTCAGCAGAGTCTTGGGTACAGACTGACTGGTACTTCTGAAAGCCGGAGCGAAGAGATGAAAGGAGAGAGAATGAACGAAAGAGTGGAGTGTTATTCCTCTTCCAGAAAAGGAAAGGAAGAATAGAAAGTAGGCCATAAACGCCCCGTGGGCCCCACCATGCTAATCTATGTTTCATTAGATATCTTCGTCTCCTTTCCTCTCGTATCTGTAAACAGAGCTTTCCAGAGCCGTCAAAGCAATAGCTCCTGCGCTGGTGTGTGTGTGTGTTTGTGTGTGTGTGTGTGTGTGTGTGTGTGAGTGAGCTGGGCTTTTTAATCTAGCCAGAGCAGGGGGGTTTAGGAGTAGGTCTTAAACAGATCACAGACAGACCGTGGGTTCCGAGCCAAAAACCTGCCATCATCTACATTAACTTCCAAATCCGAACATCAGGCCATAGAGTTGGGCTGTGTGTGTGGGTGTGTGGCGGGGGGGTTGTGTGTGTTAGTGAGTGTGCGTGTGCACTTGTGTACGGTAGTGTGGTTCTGAGATGAAAGATGAAAACCCGTCCCCCCTATGTCAACCGGTGCGGAAGTGCCTCCACTCTTCTCCCCCTCTCTACCCATTTCCTCCTTCTTCCTCCTTCCCAAGGCATGCTGGGAGTGCTCTTATCAACCAGCGCAGTCGAGTTTGTTCACAGCACATTGGTGTTACCGCCAAAAAGGCCCCACGTCCCAAGTCTCCCCTCTCACAGGCCCCCATTCTTTTTGTTGCCATTCCAAGTCAATAAGGCTGAACGTTGTGTGTGCAGTCAGCCATCCAGGCAGCAACCTTCCCCAGCTTAACTGGACTCCACCGATAAACAACTTTGAATGACTCAAACTTCACACAGTCGCCCTCCAAGTCTCCCAACTCACAATCACACCCTCTTTGACATTACATTCTACCCCATTAACATACATACCCACATGCTCTTTCATTCTATTTCTTTTCAGTTGCAGTACTAAGAAAGTTGTCAATAGGCTATAGAGTGATATCAGTGCCAACAGAAATTGAATCCGAATTCAACAATTTGTCTAAATGTTTTTGGCTGACTTTCCTAGCTATTATTTAGGTTATAAACAGTCTTGTTTGTTTCTTTATTTCTCTCTTTCAGAACCCTTCGCTGCCTTCCCTCCTGACATGACAGGTGAGTTTTCTCCCCTTTAGCCGTGTAATGATGTCACTTCCTGTGCATATGTTTCTGCTTCCTGCTCGCTGCGCTGCACTGTACAGCTTTGGCTCATGGGAGCTTTGCTTGATGGCACCCATGTGACAAGCCCGGTCCAACCAATAGAAATGGGTGTGCAAGAGCTGTGTTCGCCGCTTGATTAATGCTGCCTTGGTGACAAACGATTCCAAAAATCATCATCAGCATCCAGACATCATCAAATGACATCAGAGCCCACTGAATCCAGCAGAATCCAGTTTATTGCAGAGAAATTCAGACTATTGCTTTGACATCCATGGTTTTAAAATAACTGTCTGCCTCAATAGAAATATTGGGAGAGCTATAGGGGATTGATGTTATTGCTTGATATAGCGTTTTTGGCTGCTGGTTCTAATAAGATAAGAGTGTGTGTGTGATGTGTGCAATTTCTTCCTCCACCGTGACGCACCCACACACACACACAGACTCTCACACACATACACAGACTCTCACACACACACAGAGTCATACACACACACATGCACGCACACCCACACAGACACACAAAAACACACACACACACACTCCCTAGTGAAAAGTAATCAAATAGAGTGACTGAGCTGCGACGCCGGTGTCTCTCTCATCCTCTCAGCTCTGTCTAATGAGCGTGTGCACAGTGCAGTGGCAGGTACACGCACCATTTCCCTCTGTAATTATGTGACATGGTCGAATACTCAGGGTGGCTTCAAATCTACACCGTACATGGAGTCTCTCAGCTATCTCTCACTTTCTCTAATTCTCTCTCTCTCTCTGTCCCCATCTGTATGACTCTCTCTCTCTCGCTCTCTCTCTCTCTCGCTCTCTCTCTCTCTTTCCCGTTCCTTCTCTCGGGCTCTTGAACTGATGGTTTTGGTCCATTTTCTTAGCTTAGACCAAAGAGTGCTTGGAAACTGTTGTCGGCATATGATTTCACATACCAGACCTGTATGAATAGGAGAGCTTAAGCCTTGAAAGACGTTGTTAGGGCGATTGCGCAAAGAATGTGAGAAGGGTTCAAAGGATTGAAGTAGAGGAGCTGTGTTGGGGTGTTGGGTGGGTCTCCGCTGAGATACTTCTTGGCTTGAAGAGGAAAGAACTGGCCAAGAGAGAAACGAAAACAAAGACTAGAACAGAACAGGGCAATGTGTCTTCCAAAGAAATCCACATGAACCTGCCAAACACAAATTCCATCACTGTCTCCAAATTAAAGAGAGAAAGATCCAGAACATTTCTATTTAGGCTCCATGGGGTCTTATGATTGGTCAGTGGAGCATTGGAACTTCCTGTACCAACAGGAAGTAGTGGCTCCTCATTGGGCAAAAATTATTTTACTTTATCAGCGTAGTCACGTAACATTGCATCAAGGTGACTTTTCAATTGAATTTACAAAAAGTCAACAATTTACACAATTTGTGTCTTGATCCAACCCAGGTTTCAATCATAAATCGACCACAGGGCTTGACACCTCTTTGATTTGATTGCTTACAAACTGAATTGATGTTTGTTGACAAGTTAATTAGGTATCAATTCATATTGGGCATTGTTCAGACGTCTTTGTCCAGTGGGTCTCTTGTGTGTGTGTATCTGTGTGTGTGTGCGTGCATCCGTTCTGTTACAGCTAATTATCATGCCCTTTGTTTCACACCAAATTATTACATGAGAGCTTTATTCATTGGAGCATTGGATCAATTCAACCCCCCCCAGACTAATTGAAAATCCGTAGCTATACTCTACTGCTCTTGGTGTGAAAATCACCTCTCTCACCATCGACTGCAACCCAAGCTTCAGCCATAAGATAAAGAAAACCCTGGATGCATTTGATTTAATTTAGCCATTATCTGTGATGAATACTTTTTTTCCGTTTGAGCCGGCATGCTTGTGCATGCCCATGTGCTCGTATGCCTGCTGTTCATGTGATGGAAAGCCACAGGGGAGAAATAAAACACAAAAACAAAGCAGTCCATTGGATGTGCTTTGCTTGCCTCCTCTCTCCTCCCCCCGAGCCAACATATTCCTTATCTCTCCACCAGGGGGAGGTGTTCCTGGCGGGAGTGACCCCACAGTAGACACGTTGGCGCTGCCACTCATACCCACCCTCTGGTACTACCTCGTGGCCGCCGGGGGTGCCCTGATACTCCTGGCAGTGGCCATCTTGGTACGGGTGCTCTGTTGCCATCGACGAAGGCTGGCAGCGAAGAAGAGCCAGCTCTCGGTGGCCTACCACAGCCAATCCCAGTACTTTCAGTACTCCCAGTCCTCAGCCAGTAACCCGGTAACAGCCGCTCCAGGGACGGAGCCCGTGCTCACCGTGAGGCTAGACAACCACAGCCACCAACAATATGCCCTCTGCTGAAAGGAAGAGGCGGGGCTTAAAGCTAAACCCCTCCCCTTTTGATGACATGGATCATGGATGATGCAACGGGGAACAAGGATCGGAGTGGTATTGACAGTGACATTTTCTGTTGGGTCCTGCTTTCATCAGCAGTGGATGTTACTGTTCACAGACTAACTCTTCTAACACTATTTCTATAACTTTAATCTGTCTACGGACTATGGATGTAGTTTTGGTCACTGTTTTTTATGGGGGACTTGGTCGTTGACATTTCACACTTCAAGCTGTGGTGATGTGATTCAGAGAGATATCAAGCCATCTATATGAGTGGCTCGTTTCAAACCCAATCTCCAGCCTTACAGGACTAGTGGTTGTAGTTCTGGTTCCTACCCCCTGGGCTTCCTGGAATCACGCCAGCATGGACACACTTAGTGTGGGCTAACCTCCCGGCCCGGTGTGGGTGAAGTGGTTCAGCCATGTAAAACCTCCAGCGCTGTCAGACCACAAACAGACAAGCGAGAGATACTGTTCTACTGACAGCTCTGCTGGAACACTGAGAGAGAAAGAGAAGAGAGAGAGAGACAGAGACAGAGACAGAGAGAGAGAGAGGAGGGGGAACGTTACAAAGTCAGAGACAATGGATGCGCTACAGGAGCGACTTCATTATAAAGATAGTGCTTCAGGACAGGCTGCTAAGATGTCAGTGTTACTATTACTGAAGGAGATGTTAAATAGATACACTGTAACGATGATATATGTTTTGTTTATTGTGAGTGGACCGGGTTATGTAAGACAATATAGGATTCTTCTTGCGTTGCAAGAAAGCATGTTTGAATATGAAGTTGAGCTTTTTTGTGTCACTCTTATTGACCTGAGGAATTAATCTCAATCACGCAGCTCAAGAATAATATTTTAGTAGTCCCACACCGGAAACCCCACATCCAGCTTTTGATTGAATATTACCCCTCAGTCAGTCTGTGAGCGGAGTCCCTGTCTTTATAATGTCATCAACATCATCATCAGTGATAAATGCTCATTCCCACATTGTTTGTGTTCTATCTTGGTTCCCGGGTGTGTTCGATGACAGAGATCCACTCCCTTCCATTCAACACACACCAGCCACTTTATTTGTTCCTTGTTGCCACAAACTGGAAACCGAAACCCCAGTGAAAGCCAAGTGGAAGAGGCGCTTTTTTTTTTCTCAATGTGAATATGTATTTGTGTTCAACGGACGTAAACAGACACAGCTGTCCACCATCACTACCTTCTTCTTGATTTATACTTTGACTAAATCTCACAATACTCCATAAAGTTAGATTGAGGGCTCTTCTATCATTGCAATTATTTGCTCAGTATAATTTGTTGGCTGACGGGAATTGAATTCTGGGGTCTGTCCTTAACCCATAGGAAGTCCCACCCAGTTGACGACTTTCAACAAAATGTTGAAAGTCCTCAATGGCGCCACCCATGCGAAAACATGTGGCAAGTGAGCCCTCTATCCAACTCTATGCAATACTCTCAAACAGCTGGAAGCCATTTGTTTTTTTTTCTTCTGTTGCGTGTACTCTTAGTTGAGAATGCTCCAAAACATCATGGAAACCAGAGACAAAATATAAACGATGCTTCCCAATAACTTAAGATGGATGCTAGCGGGATGCATCCCTCATTAGAACATTGAGGGCATAAACAAAATGGCAAAGAATCTAATGATATAAAAACTGGTGGCCAAGAGAATTGGAAATATGTTTAAAATGGGACCAGACCCAATTATGATAATAGTTAGCACATATTTAAGTTGGTTTGTTAGTGGTTATGTAGAGCTGTGAGAATCAGATGGCCCTTAAAGGGGAAGTTCACCCAAATTACAAAACAGTGGCCATGTAAACAAAGCCTAAGCATGGATTCCATAGACTGCTTTCAGGGGAAGAAAAACAATATTTAATTTTGTAGTTTGGGTGAACTATCCCTTTAATGATAAACAGTTATCTATCTCACCATTATTGTACAGCCAGAGGTAGTTTAGCGCAATACCTGCCCATTTAACCCATTTAACCACCAAATATGTCAGACGTGTTCCGATCTCAAAAGTAGTCTAATATCAAGATGAGTCCACGTCCCATAGTTGTGTAGATCCAGCTAATTTATATGCCTCAACCCCGAATGAGTGGAAAAGATAAACACCAAATAAAATCAGTAAATGATGGTGCTTCCATTTACAACCGATGGCCTGGGATGTGAACTTATCTCAACATAAGACCAATTCCCAGGTCTGAACGCATCTGACAAACTTTGAGTTTGGTATAAACTGTCCCTTTAAGCAGGACAACCGAATGTGTTTGGGTTAGAGTGATGCCTCCATAGAACTAAATAGAACATTTCTATGGAAGCCACTACATTATCTGGGCGTTTTGAAGAGGGCTATGAGGGCCATAGAGTCTTCCATTGAGTGAGGTGAATGTGTGTGGCAATCAGGCTTTTTAGTTGTACTTTTCTCAGAGTGAAGAGAAGTTTTTTGGCACCCTCTCGCAATGTGCTTTTAAATCAACTGGGGGGTTGGGAACCCCACTCTGTCCATCTCACTGTAGCTCCGCTCCAAGCTCTTAATATCTCTAATTAGGTAATGGAGCGATAACATTTATTTAGGCTGTAGTAAGCACTTTTCTCTTTTCCCATCTCCTGCACACACAGACACACTCTCTCACGCATACACACACACCCACATACACTCTCTCTCACACATGCACACACACGCACCCCTCCCCCGGCACACACACACACACACTGCACCCACCCACACACACCAGCAGCCAACAGCAGTTGCCCCTGGAGACAATATTAATGATTCTCGTTGAGGGCTCCAGTTAAGGTGTTCCTTGCCAAGCACTTACTCCCACCCTTGTCCATATGCCAAGTGTTGCACACACACCTCTCAAGATGAAACTAAACCTGAAGTTAAAGTGCCGTTTTCAAAAACAGCGTCGGGGTGAGTTTTGGGAGGTCGAGGTGGAGGGCTAGGCCTGAGCAGTCCTAAGCACCACTCTCAGTGATGATACTCATTAGTATCTCATGATGATCACACCACATCCCAATGCAGTGGGTGGAAGCCAGGAGGGAACTGTGTTTGATTATCTGTGAGCTCAATGCATAATCTATTTGTATGATGATGATGATGATGATGATGATGATGGTACAATTGTTTGCTGATACTTTACTTGGGCTTTGCACCTCTGTGAGCTATGTGGAAAGTGTGTTTGAAATAGTTAAATGAATGTGATGAATATAGTATGATCTGTGATAATAAAGTGATATTTTTAAACATTGTGGTATGTGTGTGTATGCCATTGGGCTTTAGCAGCCCCATCACATATTATAGTAATTAATTAGTGTAATTAGTAATTACAGTGAAGGAAGATTGACATAGACAGTTTACATTATTGCATGAAACTAAAATGTACTGTTTGGATGCTTGGCATTGTACATACGTTGAAAAAACATTCTGTTGTATCGTCTTCTCTCATAGATAAGAGACCAGAGTTTGGAGACAGCAGACTTTTTAATGGCAGGAACCAGTTAGATGGAGGTAAGTGCTTCCATCAACTACAATGTATTTTATGTGTCCATTACTACAATACATTTTTCCAAATGTGAAAAAGTGCCTAGTTTCTAATAACCATGCATCTCTCTTTTTCTCTCTCTTCTCTCTCTCCTGCCTCTCCCTCTCTCTCTCTTTTCCTCCTCTCGTCCAGGCTGGGCGTTCCCTGAGGAGTTTAGTACGGCCGCCCCGTCCTCCGAGCCACCGGAGACGCGCGTCTCCTCCTCGGCGGAGAAGGACAACTCGTGGCTGTACACGCTGGACCCCATCCTGGTCACCATCATCGTTATGAGCTCCCTGGGCGTGCTGCTGGGCGCTGTGTGCGCCGGCCTGCTGCTCTACTGCACGTGCTCCTACAGTGGCCTGTCATCGCGTAGTTCTACCACGCTGGAGAACTACAACTTTGAGCTGTACGACGGCCTCAAGCACAAGGTGAAGCTCAACCAGCAGCGCTGCTGCACCGAGGCATGAGGAGAAATAGTAAAGAGAGGAGAGGGGTAGAGGAAAGGAGAGAGGCGGACATTTTGAGGAGATTATCTTCTCCTTTGTTTTCTCTGGTTTGCTTGGACCGTGAATTTCCTTTCTGAGCTGAAGGACTACACCTGCCAGATGGAAGGACATTTTGGGGAAAAGCCACTTTTTAGACTGATCTTGAGACCCCTCCCCCCATGCTTCACTCAAAGTAGTGCAGTCCAGGGTGGGGTTTTCTGGACCAAAACCAATGAGGGAAGGACTGGGGATTTCCCAGAGCGGTCCCTATAGCGGACTGTTCCATTGCCGGGGGGTGTTAAATCAAATATCAACACATATCAAGCCGCAAATACCTACTTTTCCCCCCAAAAATGGAGAACTCCATATAAATACATCATCGTTTTCTAGGTCTAGTTTTTAAACTAGGAAGACGGTAGGCTAAACTCATTGACACAGACAACGCCTTAGACAGGTGATCATTTAGTGCTTAGAAAGTGTGTTTCTCTATCACATGGACACAGTGGCCTAGAACCTAGTGAAGTGAATTATTTATGAAGCGTTTTTGTTCAGTTAGACTCTTGCGTCTCTGTAACACATCAGCCTCAGTTCTCCACCCTGTTTTCTGACAGGTCTGTGGTATTTTTAGACTAAGCACTGTCTTTGGTGTATGTCTTTTTGTTATTTGTTCCGACCTTATCTGTTTTCTTTCTCGTTTTGGCCCGTCGCCAGCCTGTGAATGCTGATAAAGATAGAAGGAGGGAATGGGGGAAGGAGGGAATGGGGGGTTCTAGTCATGTTCTGTTCTAAACGTGTTCTGTTGAAGATAGAAAGCAAAGGAGTTTATTGTTAGATTTAGTTTCAGGCTGTTGTTGCCGGTGGGTTGTATCGAAGAGAAGGTCGAAGGACGTGTTTACAGTAAACTGTGGTTAGGTGAAGCAAAAGGTTAAGGTGAAGATGGTTTTGGTCAGTGCAACCCATGGATTGCTGGGAAATCCAGGCAGACACTGAATAGCCATCTACAAATGAGAACAAAAAATAAATAAAATAATAATAAAGAACTTAAATCCTAAATCAACCTCTCTCCGGGGACAATGTTCTCTGTGTGTTGGATGAGGAACAAATGAACGATAAAACGCACAGTGGGATACATATTTTTTTTAAATATATATATTCTAGACCATTGATTGGACAGTGGACACACATCTGAGCTTTAAGTCAGCGATTAGTAGAGGAAATACCAATGGAAGGACACCATTTCCTCAGAGTGGACCAATGTGGTCTTGTTGTCATGGTTCTTCACTCGTGCTCTCCTCGTTTGATGTTTGTTGCTCTTGTTTTCACACTCTGACTCCATTTTGTGTTGTCACGGTGAGGCTGGAGTTTTAACAGGACACAGGTTTATGGGGAGAGGTAAATCAGGAGGATTTAAACACACACATCGGCTCCCTCTGGACTCTCTAGCCTTGTGAAGGAGGAGAGGGAAAGAGAACAGTAAATCTTTCCGCTGTACCTCAGACTTCTCACTTTCACACACACTGTCACACACACTCATGCATACACAGCGTGCACATGCTAGCACACACACACACATCAACACACCGAAGACGGAGTATCCCGGTCATTCTGATGAAATGCTGGGCATGTATAGGGCTGTGTGCGTCTGGATGCACTGGAGTGGACCCAGGCTAGTGCTGACCGAGAGGCCCCGGTTGTTGGGGGGGTCGCTGGGCCGTGAGGTAGAGTCTATCCCCTACACCCCACCAACCCACCTTCCCTCTCCTATCCCAGAGGCTCTCATCACTGGACCCCACTGACTCTCTTCCAAGTGCCTTGGAGCTTCTGTGATCCAGCTTGCCTTTGGAGCCCATATCAGATTACAGATACAGAACAGTAGCCTAATCTGTCTGGGCAGGAGGGGCTGAAACGCACCTCCCTGGGCAAGAATGGGTCAAACTCACCCCTCTGGGCAAGCGAGGGGCTAAACCTCACAAGGACCACCCTGACACTGGTTAGACCTAATTGTTGCTTGGGGACTTTGTACAGAAATGTTCTTTTTATGGTTGTTATTAATATTGTTATTATGATTATTTAATAAAGGATTTATACCATACAGAGAGTGTAGGTGGTCATCCCTGGATGTGCTCGTTTGTCTTGGTTTGTGTGAGTTGAAGATGGGTTGTTAGTATGAGGATACTGAGGTAACCTCAGCTTATACACACACACACACAGTACATTGTATGGTCCATAGCCATGTACACACTCGTACACTGTAACAAACACCCTCACAGGCACATTTCTATTCACACACTGTACACCGTTTGTATTGACAAACTCTCTGTATAGGTCACACACACAGGCTTTCAAACACAAACATGAACACAGATACACATACACACAGTGTCAGCCAGCCACAGTTTTCCTCTCATCTCTCCATGGCCTCCCATTAGCCCGGACCTCTAGTCGCCCTTTTTTAGGAGCTCCAACATCAAAGCTTTGAAGTGCCCAGCATCTTACACACACACACACACAATAACACACATACGTACACACACACATGATTACTCTGCTTCCTCCATTTACATGGCTCCCCATCTCCTACACATGGTTTTGTTTAGCCATGTCAGCCCTCATACCTAAACGCTAACACAACCAGAAGGTATGGCGTGCAACATATCCGTGACTGCAAGGATTTCATTGGCTGGTATTGGTAAGAGGGAGAAAATGGATATAGTCATAATATGAAGTGACCTTGTATTGAATTTAAAGGGAAAGTAAAAAAATTACATAATTTGCTAAAATATCCCTTGAAGGGGGAAATTATTACAACAGACCAAAAAGGTAAATGTCTCATAACTTTTCATATCCTTCACAATGGATTGACAGCATTCACTGTTAGCTACCTCCTGAGAACCATGGCTCCGCTTTGAGTGGGCTCTTAACTGAAGGTGTAACATCCACTGCTCCACAACCAGTGATTCAGAGCCTTGACATGTAGTTACCCAGTCAAAGTGGGTGCGTGGCTGTTAGCACGCTCTGCGGTGCAACATAACGGCCCAATTATGGTCCCTAAACACAATACCCGAACCAACAGAGGAGCGCACCACCATCTGTTACCTAGCTTGGGTTGGGGTGCTCTCTGTTCTTAACACTAAAAAAATAAAATGTTTTTGCCAAATTATGTTTTTCCCTTTTCTCTATCTGTTGGAAATGGAATACTCCACAGGGGCCTTTTCCTTTCCTGACATCAGAGAGACGTCTCGCTTCTAACGTTGCACCAGGCCAGACCAGCCTTCAAAGCATCTGTAAATTGATAGGACCAGATTGAGAGAGGCCCCGTTTGAGGGTCGCAACAGGAAATGTATCCAACACACAGCTAATTAATCTCTACTGTTATGCAATGGAGATGAAGGCAGGGCCAGTAGTGGACGCACAGGTCATTACTCATTCTGTAATCACTGTGTCTGTGTGAGGCCTAGGTCCAATCGTTTATTTGTATCTTGATTATATGTAGAGAGGAGAGTGTGGTGTGATTGGATGTTGCTGTATATTTTGTTGGTTGTTGGTATGTTTGTTGACTGTAGTTTAGTTGGATTGAGTGGATTTTCTCTGTGACTGAATCAACAGATGAGAGATAGACCTATTGACAGTCTGAGAGAGTTGGATCAGAACGAGACGGAGTGACAGTCTATTCTCTCCATCAGTGATGAACAGGAGAGGATCCCAGAGAAGCACTAAGAGACTGACCCAGTATGCCTTTCAACAGCATCCAGACCCCTCACATCACTCCCTCCCTCCCCCCACACACTCCTTCTCCCTGCCACTGAGCCACCCCCCTGTCCCACAAGGCACCCTGGGAAGTCAGCCCAGTCACATCCCTGCCTGTCCTGTCCCATTTGCCAATGGTTCAAAGCCTATATCTGGGTCAGAGGAGGGGTGTACAGGGGATCCGGGCTGCTGCGGCCATAGAAATGGAATTAGATTCTAGAATAGACTATCCCATTCAAGTCAATGTTCTGTGATAGGTGGACCAGCGGCCACATTGAGTGTACCCATAGGAGTATTTCCATGGACTAACCTAATTACTTCCCTTCTAGTAATTATATTTCTATGACCGCTATCGCCCCAACGCAGTGACATCCACAGCCACCTCTCTAAACATTTACAGAAAGACAGGCTGTCACTCTTTCCTGGCGATTCATTCTCATCTCCGCCACTACAGGATATGGCTTCTGAAAGCAAATAAATGGAGGAAATATTAGAACAAGAACATACAGTATCTCTGTTTGTGAGCTCAAACTAGGCCAGACTCAATGTGGATCTGTGTCCCAAATGTAACCCTATTCCCTACATAGTGCACAACTTTGTAGTAGTGTAAGTGCACCACTATATAGGGAATAGGTTGCCATTTGTGACGCAGCCTGGTTCTCGCTCCCCTGTCATGGAAGGTCATCATACAGGAAATTCACTCAGTATACATATTCCCTGTGAGCTGATTGAATGATGCGCCCTTAAAGCTGAAGACAGCATTCCAAGAGGAAACCTTCAATTATCAATGTATTGCTCTGTTTGTGATTACCATTCAGATGGTAAGTTATTGGTCGACCTTTGAAGTCAAATGTTTTTCATAAAGATCTAAAGTCCCCTGTTTAGGGGACCTGCGTGGTTCTGGCACCGGTTCCGACCAACATTTTTGCTTGTACATCGATCTGTGGACACCGTAGATCGAAATGGCTTACATCAAGCGGTGCCCTGGTTCTCTTCCGCCTGTGTGACGTAGGATGTGAAATTTGACACCACTTGAAGCTGGGATTTCCCCTACCATTTCATTCGCTCTTACGACTGTCCATCAACTCCTGGCTGAACCCTACCTTACAGCAACTGATAAAGCACATGCCTGCAATCCTTATGCCACGTTCAATACTAGTTCCAATAGGGATAAATCGTTTTGAAGGGTCATCCAACTCGGAATTCCAAGTCGGAAACACTGGCATCTTTCTAGAGCTCAGAATTTCTGACCTGGAGATCACAGACGTCATGATTTGCCCACGTTTGTTTCCCAGAGTTTCCAGTTGTCTTGAAAGCACCATTACATCGTAGCGCAGCAGGAGAGTGGTTTCATCACTCTAGCACAGGGTTCTTCAATTCCGGTCCTGGAGGGCCGAGACACCTCTGTTTTTCATCCTCTCCTTCTAATCAGGGGCTAATTCAGACCTGGGACACCAGGTGAGTGCAATTAACTACCAGGGAGAAATAAAAAACAGAAGTGTTTCGGCCCTCCAGGACCGGAATTGAAGAACCCTGCTCTAGCACATTCACAATACATTTATATGGGAAAAAAATCTGTAAATGTCCATTCACCTGAATGTCCATTGTCCCAGGAGTACATTATCAAGTCAACCCAATTAACCAATTATATTTTGTACAGATAAGTATAAATAAGTTTTGATGCTCAAATACTGTATGACTCTTTCAACATGCCACTGAAAAGGTTGAAAGCTGCAATTCATTGTATTATAGCTGAAATACTGCAGAGTAATTCAAAGCCATTTTCAAACACACACTATACTATCTTAAAAGGGATAATTTACCCAGAATACAAACTAACATGATTTTCCACCTACCTTGGCTGTAGTTGATTCAAAAATGAAGTTTTGGGATATCTAGTTTCCTTTCGACACTTAATAGCCATATTTTGTTACTGTTAGCATTCTCAGTAACACTTAACATTAAACTGTTCTTGTGCCTGTGTAATAAAATTGTAATTACTTTTGGAGCACATTTTATTAGCATGTTGTTACATAATACTTTTCTAGTTACATTTAATTGCATACATAATGAGCTTAGAGTTTTTGTAACTACTGTACACAAGAGGAATAGTGACTGTTCCTTATTCCATTTACGTAATAACTCCTTTATTATGCAATTATAAAGCATTTCCAAAGCCATGCACTGAGTAACAACACACTGTGCTACCCCGTTCTCAATATCGACAACAAGCATTTGCTACGGCATGCATGATCACCCCTGCTACTCAACTTGACAGACTCTGACCCACTAACAAAATCTTGACACTACTCACAGCTTCATCCTTACAACTAAATTTAGGACAGCTGAGGAAACCTGAAATATCACCCCTAATCAGCTGGGCTAAGACAACTGTACCACTTCTTAAATACACGAAATTGTCAAACCCTATACTAGCCTGTTCAACCTCTCTTTCGTATCGTCTGAGATCCCCAGAGATTGGAAAGCTGTCGCGGTCATCCCCCTCTTCAAAGTGGGTGACACTCTAGATCCAAATTGTTACAGACCTATATCCATCCTGCCCTGCCTTTCGAAAGTTTTTGAAAGCCAAGTTAACAAACAGATCACCGACCATTTCGAATCCCACCATACCTTCTCCGCTATGCAATCCGGTTTCCGAGCTGGTCATGGGTGCACCTCAGCCACGCTCAAGGTCCTAAGCAATATTATAACCGCGATCGATAAAAGACAGTACTGCGCAGCCGCCTTCATCGACCTGGCCAAGGCTTTCGACTCTGTCAACCACCGCATTCTTATTGGCAGACTAAATAGCCTTGGTTTCTCAAATGACTGCCTCGCCTGGTTCACCAACTACTTCTCAGATAGAGTTCAATGTGTCAAATCGGAGGGCCTGTTGTCTGGACCTCTGACAATCTCTGGGGGTGCCACAGGGTTCAATTCTCGGGCCGACTCTATTCTCTGTGTATATCAATGATGTTGCTCTTGCTGCTGGTGACGCTCGGATCCACCTCTATGCGGACGACACCATTTTGTATACATCTGGCCCTTCATTGGACACTGTGTTAACAAACCTCCAAACGAGCTTCAACGCCATACAACACTCCTTCCGTAGCCTCCAACTGCTCTTAAACACAAGTAAAACTAAATGCATGCTCTTCAACCAAACGCTGCTTGCACCCGCCCATCCGACTAGAATCACTACTCTCGGTGGGTCTGACCTAGAGTATGTGGACAACTACAAATACCTAGATGTCTGGTTAGACTGTAAACTCTCCTTCCAGACTCACATTAAGCATCTCCAATCAAAAGTTAGATCTAGAATCGGCTTCCTA